ATATTTTTAAGAATACTTTGTCTACAGTTTCCTTACGTTACTTGTACTTCTGTTCCTTTTGCTGGATAATATTCAATGAAACGCAGCCGGGTGTATTTCGACGAATTACCGTGTAAAACGTGGCACATAAACGACTAACGAGATCAGCGCAATCATCACGTTGCCAGACGTCGAACCTCTGTCACGATAGTAAAAGCTAGCAATTACGAGAGGATGGTAATAAAGGGACGGTGGTCGTGTCTGGTCGAGAGGTCGTAAAACGTTACCTGTTAATGAAATAATTAAACGGTCGTAGTACTTCAATCTGCGGCGAGCATTGGTCGATCTCCTAAACTAGTTTCCGTTCTGTGAGTAGCGGAAACTGATGGCGACTGATGTTTATTACATCGCGATCAACGAGATCCTAGTCGTAGCAAATGATCTCGGTAGAAACAGTGATTTTAGTATATGTCATTTATTGTAATTAAAATTAAATTACGAATTTTGTATAAAAAGTTCGGAAAATGACGATAGCAGTTTTGCATATTAATCATCAAGATATTTGAATATTTGTAACAAGTTATGAAATTTTTGATAATCAACAGTTTAAATGCTACACATTGCAAGCAGTACGATGGATGTTCATTAAATTCATTATTTTTATGTGCAAATCAGCGGCGTTCTCGATGAACGGGAGGAATTTTAGATGGTGATGAATCCATCAACACGGACTCATATGCAATGTTAATTACATTTTCAGAAATCAAATACACTTAATAGCGTTTTCTGTTTCATAAAAAGTTCAGCAAGAACAATACTTGTCATTCAGTTTCTCATAATTCAATCTTTATTAAATCTACTTTTATTAACAGAAATTTTCTTTGTCCGTGTTAATGAGATGTTAATTAAGCAAAATAATGATACTTGACAGAATAAAGAACATACTACTATTCTATTATAATAACGTCCTTAACGGTGAAAGAAATTGCATTGACTGTTAAAAAAGTATATTATAGGAAACTTCGTTAACCATTTTCATAGAATTTTATAGAAACATAGCGTTATCAGGTTCATGGTTCAGCATTTCGTAGAATATGAAAATTTTTAAGTGAAAAGGCGCACTCTAATCATTTACACATTCTCCATTATCTCTGACATTTTTCCACCTAGTTACATAATTTTTTTTATTCTTATCTCTCGTATAAGAGGATTTGGATTTTATAATAGAATGAACGAAGCAGAGGAGGTCGTACTTCAGATATAAATTCCATTCCGATTTTCCAACTACCCGTTTCAAAATTGTTACAGAAAAATATGTTGTAACTTCTCTCTTGCTAATTTTAAAAATACTAAATTAAAAATTTCTTACCTCGTCAAGTTGATTTCTTGAAAGGTATACGAACCTTAATTTTACTTTAAATATTTATTTTACCCTATTATAAAATTTATATATTTTTCTTTATAATTCCTAGTTTCTAGCCATATAACATTTCCTCCTATCCTCACGTTATTGCATTAATTAGTAATTTGACCCTTTCTTAGTTACGCTACTGTTCTAAGACCAATTACGTTCATTTTAACATACTTCCCTGTAAATGTAATTCTTAGAAAGTACCTTAGCTTTCTTCGTATCGTTCTAAACAAGGGTGCATCGGCGCAGGTTACTAGTAAGAGAGCGTATGAAACTTGAAATTCACCACGTGTCACGGTGTAATTAGCCTTACACAATGTAATTATGCTAGAAACTTGGGTCACATTACTCTGCACGGCCGACGTCGCGACATAGTCAGGTAACGAGTTGCGTTAGAAGGATTACGACCGACTGTGTCTAGGGCGCATAATTTGTTTCTTCATGCGTAAGAACAGCGACGCAATATCGGGCCCGGTTTAATAGGATGCCACTTAAACACTGCGGATGGAATTACACACTAACGAAGTTCCAATTATTCGGCATTCGCTTGGAACGTCGCATCGGGTACCGCTTGCTTCTTCGCTCGTCCACACGAACGAGAAACGTCGATAAAGCGTAACGAGCGGAAAATTTCCTCTCCCGAGATGATCGATTAATTCACGATTTAAATTTTCTACCGTTTACCTTTTGCGTTAAATCTCGCCGTACCTTTAATTCTCGCTCAATTCGTCGAACACGAGTGGTACGACTAGAAAAATGTTGATTCGTTGACACCTTTTTTCTTTTAACATTAATAATTGTGGTTGGTTATGTATAATTAGTTTTTGTAATAATTATGCAGAATAGGGTCCATCTCGTTCCAATTTCTCCACATAGTTCATCTAGATTTCAATTCTCTAGATAGTATGTGTATTGAAAAATTAATTAGGCATTAATCATTTTTATCTCTATCTCAAATGATTCAATTTGATAGAACACCTGTTGCATTGTAATTATATGAAAAGAATTTTAAAAAACAATTTCAATATCACTACGTTTTTCCATTAACAAAAGACAAGGGTGTGGAGGAGTCAGGTCATTCGTTGTTCTCGTAAATCTTGGAGAACGTGGATCTCAAGATCCGTCCATTGAAATTCGTATTTCACGAGAGAGCAATTCAGTAATACATATTTCAAGCGGACCCCTTTCTCTTAGACTCTCCTTTCAGACGCTCAGCTCTGGCCGATGCTAAAGGTAAACTTTTGGCGGCAAAGTCGGTCGATCTCGAGTTTCCTTTGATCGAGGCATCCTCTTCTCCTGTCATCCATTTTTCTCAGGGTAAAGTAAACGTCGTTCGATCCACGGACAGAAGACCACGACACCTTTGCGAATCCTTCGGCTATCGATCATACGTACGATCAGCTGCACAAAAGACACGTGCTTCGTTTGAACGGCTACCAATCGATTCCTATGTTATCTTGCTGAATAAACATAGTGCTTTTCGGCTTCTGCTAAAATACAGACTGTCTCTTAATTTTGACGATATTAATATCAAAAGTGATTTAGAAACAAAATAATATAGCTTTTAGCTATTAATTTAGCATATAATTGAGAAATATGAGTAATGACAGAAATATCAATTCAAATTCTCCCGCGTGAACGTTTGTACGCAATTGGTGGAGGACCATAGGCCTATACATATATAGGGGACCTTCTCGGCTGCTTCGTCACTCTCCTCGGGACGTCCGAGGGAAAGGTGAGAACTCGGGAAAGGGCCAGGAATTCCGGAACCCGAGGAAAATCCGGGAAAAAGTGGTGAGATTAGGAGTCTATTATTAAAACTCCTTTCAATTATTAAATGTTACAATAGCATTTCATTAAGCTGGTAATTAAATTTTTCTTGAATCTATATACCTCTATTTAAGTAGGTCCTTTATAACTAATTTTAAACTCCTGAGCCTTTCTTGAACCCTTTCTCTAACGAAATAGTAGGTTTTGTTCCAGCCGATGTAAATCTGGTTCTGTTATATTTTTGTTCAATCTCCCTCAAATAATTCATTTAATTCCTCGAAATGGTAACAACTTCATTTTAACTCGGTTTCACGATGAAGAAATAGACTGAACCTATGGAAACTTCAAAATTGAAAGACAGATTTGATCGTCCTTTTATACTTCCATATGGATCGCTATTGACATTTTTATTAGGAAGTTCGTGCTCGGACCAGCTAAAGCTTACAGTTTCGATTACTTAGTAATTTAACCAAGCAAGGAAGGAATAGATCGATTTGGCAAACTCCTATTTATTACTTTGGTTTTCTAAATATATTTTTATCAAGTTTTATAACTCGTAATTCAAATACTTGCGTATGTAACAACTACGTTTGTAATATTATTATGATTAAAATAAACAAGACAAGTGAGAGGAAACAAGAGAAATAGGCGATGAGAACGCGAAATTACGTGCAAGTTCTAGGATACAGGGGGCAAGTAGAAACATACCTGCATATCAACGTGAAATTCTGCTTGAGATTCTCCGCGTGGCATGGCATAGTTACTCGTTGCACTCGGAACTTCATCCGCATTCGCGTGTGCACCCGACGTCGTCGCAACCCTCTGAGTAAGCGGCAGCGACGCGCGTCGGGACGCCTCAAACGAGTCCGAGAACGTGTCTGCACCGTGTCCTGAAGAGTTTTTAGCGTAAACTTCGTTCATCTGTATAGTTTCCTTGTTCTCTAGGATTTTATATTTATATTTACTCTTTCCGTTGTCTCATGGTAAAATTAAAATAATCCACATGATTTTTTAAAAATATTAAATTAAATTGCAGCCACAGTTCAATCAATATTTTTATTCCTCTAAATATAATATCATCATACTATTGTATTCTTTCTTTTTAAATTCGTCTATTTCCCTTGATATTTTCTTGTGCCCATTTTATCCTCGTCATTTTCAAACGTCAGTCAGTCGATGAACTTGTCAATTTTCGTTGCCGACACGCACGAAACGATCGACTGGCATACGTGAACCCGATTTTTCGAGACTAGGATAGATTGACACTTCCGCCGCGCATTCTTTTTCATGAAAAATATCCATAATAGACAAAGTCGTGCCTTTTAGCGTGAAAAACCTTGGAATTGAATGGAAATTCAGCTTCCATGCTATTCTGAAAAATAGAATTCTTACCTCTCAAAACTATCATGATATTATTAGATAGATATAAATAATTTAACATTTTGATGGTCATACATTTTATTAAATTGATAATTTCTGCAATATCAGACTTTTTTTTATACTTAATGAAAATTATTGTCAGGGTGAACCTGACCCCCCAAAAATGTCGACTTGTTCCTTCGCCATATAAGATTTCAAGGTTCTAGGATTAAAAAAATTTCAGAATTTCAGGATTTCGAAATTTCAAAAGCCAAAGAATACAAAATCTTTTAATTTTAAGATCTTAAGGTCTCAAAATCTTTCTCGTCAGAAAAACAATTTCACTTACGCCAATGAGCACACACGCTATGTAATGCAATGAATCTTTCCAAAAAAGAAAATTAATGGTATTGTATGAAAAAAAAAAAAAATGTTCAAATGGAACAGTGTTTAAAACGTTTTCATGTATTGTCTGTTACAGTTTGGACAGAGATCAGCCGTTCACATTCCAGCTGGGAGTTGGCCAAGTTATTAAAGGCTGGGACCAGGGATTGGTGGATATGTGCGTGGGCGAAAAAAGGAAGTTGACCATACCGCCGGAACTCGGATACGGAGAGAAAGGAGCCGGAAACGTAATTCCTGGAGGTAAAGTTCCTTCCCCTGATGTTCTTGCTGTCCGTTACGCTCGAAGTTTCTTATTATTTTACCGTGCTATCGGATAGAAATTAGTTTTACCAGAGACTGCGGTGAACAGTTGTTTTAATGAACTTTGCTTGAAATTCAATCCGAGATAACGTGTAAATAAGATACCTAAATATACAGCATGGAAATTGGAAACGATGGGTAAAAGTACATTCTACAGGGTGTGTCATAAAATAGAATTTCATTGATAAAGTAAATATTTTTGTATTTCTATAATTTCGTTCTATTTACAATAAACATATTCTCGTCAAGAAGCAATCGCAGTACATCAACATAATTTTGTAAATAATTATAACATACAGCATTTGTTACGCCTATAATAGAGTATTAAAGCTACTCTTCTCAAATTCGTGCGACTCTGAGGAAAAAAACTGTTGCTTATCGTTTCGTTCAGGAATTTCATATAAAATATTGATGATAGAGGTTGAAATGGATTTAATAACAGGCTCACATTTATGACATTCGGTAATAAAAGTTCGCAAAAAAATTGAGAACTTGAGAATTTACAAAAATTTTATTAGTCGAGAGTGTATGAAGTTATTTCAAATACATTCAGATTTATGTTAATTGTATAATTAACAAAACAACATTTTTTTTTTATTTTCGAACTCTTATTGCTGCGATTCTTTGATTTTTAAAATAAGAAAGAATTCTAACAAATGCTTAGTCTTTTCAAATTATCGGTCGATTCTTTCTTTTTTCGAGATGGAACAAATGAGATTGGCGGTTAAATCGATACAAAAGAGATCGTTAGTAACGGACTAAAAAATGCAATTGCACGGAAATCCAATAAAGCATCAACCATTAAATCGAGCACTAGCTATCCACGACCATCTCGGTTAGATCAACAGTGGGGTCTGGTTCGCTCATTTTTTTCGGGAAAGTTCTCCCGTTGGATAAATCGACGGCTTTTCCCGAATATGCATCTTCGATCGCAATCGTTCCTGCGTTTTATAGAGAGCTCGGTTTTGTTTGGCGAACCCTTCGTTTCACGCGAAGAATAGATCGGATCACGATAAGCTGACTCAATAATGTTGAATGATCAGCTTTCCGATACTAGGGAATACAGTCCTCTGTTGATAACTTCTTTGTGATTGAAAATATTTAAAGCAAATGGTTTTTATACGCATTGAAATGGGATGGGCTTCCATACCGAGGCTTTAAAGTCCTAAAATTCTAAACATTCAAACTTTTGAATTCCCAAATTCCAAAGTTCCAAAGTTTCAAAATGCCAAATTTCCAAAATTTCAAAGGTCTAATATTCCAAACTTCTGATATCCTAAAATTTCAAAGTTCTATAATTTCATGGACTTGGACCACCCAGGAAAAACCTTTTTTATGCTTCAAAAAACAATTGCAATATCAGTATTTCAATTACACTGCTTCGTTATATTCTCCATTGTTGGGGAAACCGCTATCAAACGTAATAAAAGTTGGTGAAGTAATAACAATTGAAAGTAATTCTGCAACCATTTGGAAAATTCTAAAGTTTTTCCCGTTTGTTTACCGCGAAGTTCAGGTAGCGAGAATTTTTCACGGTTTCTTTGTGTTGTCGGAATGCTGTATGTGGTTCTTTGTTGCGGAAGAACGTGCAACGAGAAGTTACAATGTTCGAGGGGTTTGCAACAGAAGCGGAGTAAATGCGGTTTATGCGTTTTATGGTTAATTAACTTCATCGTCGGCCAACACCGGTTCACTCGTTTCCTTTGTAAAAAATAATTGCGGTACGACGTTTAAGCTGCGCTGAGGATATTTGTTGAAGCTCGTTAGTGTTGGTCCAAGCAACTTGTTTTTTAACGTTACTGAATGGATCCGACGCGATTCAATGAACGCCGAACGCTATTATCTTTGATGGAAAAAAAGGAGGGTAATTATTTGAACCGGCTCTTGAAAACAATTTTAAGGTTGAACAATTAAACGGATCTAGATAAGTTTTTAATTCGAACGTGTTTTTTCATTTCCACGTTTTTATGCTCGCGATAATTCGTTCTCTGAAAATATAATTGCTCAACGAAATGAATTCCGTGAAAATCTGCTCGTCTACGATGGAAGATTAATTAAAACTGATAGTGTGAAAGTACAGCGATTGAAATAATTGAAAGATTCTCCATTTTACGACGTTTTACTAATTGAAGCAGTAAAAATTTACAGAAAGTATCAAACTAGTCTTCCTTTGTTTCTCTTGAACTCTTGATTTACATAAGAGAAAATGTTGACTTCTGACAAAAGTCAAACTTTTAACGCTAAAATCTTTATTATATATTCTGTATGAAATATCGAAGTGACAAAGATGTACATTTTCCTGCTTCTCTTTCTCCTTCGTACAATACGATCATCAACTTGCTCGTTATTTCGCATTTTTTTGTAGACTAAAAGTCACAAAATCTGGACTAGTTTGCTACCAGAATCTAGGTAAAAAAGAGAACGATAGCTTTAGTGGTCTGAGATTGTGAACGAAAACTGTTTCCTCTCGGCACAATGGGACAAAGAACAAGAGAAAGAAAATTGCGTACAAAGAAAAGGAATTTGATTCCATCTATCGTCGATGTTGCAACCAGTTGAGAAAAAGAGGAACCTTTTCGAGCATTTACCAGTGTTCCAAGACGAGATGGGAGTGGTTTGTTCTTTAACTTCCATCGAGTACCCCTTCCCATGACTTACTGTTAAAACATTTCACTCGGGGTTTATCCACTTAAGCTTCAATTTAAGAAATTAATTTTAACCGATTAGACTCTTATGAGTTTCTTAGCCTTTAACTGTTTACAAACAGAAAGTTGAAATAGTTTGCATTCGACTATCCTCAACAATGCAAATTGTAATTAGAACTATTTACAGAGTTCGTGGAACGTGACATGACTTAAAGTTTAAATGTAACAAACTAAATCGTACATGTAGTAGAGCTGAATTACAACTTCTGTAATTGGAAGCGAGGTTATAATTTAACTTCTCTACAAATATGATCCTGGTTTGTCATGTGTGAACTTCAACTTACAAGAGTGTGACCTGATATTCTAATGTAGCACGTTGATTATATTTTTTAACTGAATATGTACGCGAACATAGTTGTTGACAGCTGATCAGCTCTGTGAATTAAACATAATTGAATAATTATAAAAGATAATAGGGACCCATTATTTTCAATAGCATTGCTATTGTATTCAGCATCAGAATTAAAGGGTGGTCTAAGGGAGGCTGCAGCCTGGGACACGTTACAAGCCTTCCATTTACTACATCAGCAACTATTGAATAAAATTTCTTTTTCATTGTTTCCTTTTTTCCTTAGAATCAAATATTATTTAATTTTACTTATAGTAATTTTTAATTTTTCAACCATGTTCTTCAGCCCCCAGAAATTTCAATTCAGTCCTGATTATACTAACAACATCAGGTAGCAAATTAAAAATGTAAATTTTCAAATTAACTATTCTTATCTTTAATAATTAGTGTCGCTAATGAAATTAATTGATTTTCAAATTTAAGGTTTTAATTTACTACCTAAAGTCATTACTGAAATGCTGATGACCCCGCAGTAATCAACGTATTAATTCTAAACAGTCTTCGGACAATTATTGAACTACACAGTAGTATACTCGATCATTTAACTTCCAGCAGACTGGTAGCCAGACGCGACACATCGTTCGCCGTATTAATTGCGCCTGTTTAAGTAGTGAATAATTGAACGGCATATTTCATTAGAACACGGCTTAATCGCGATGGGGCCGTTCATAATTAATACGGGGGACACGCGTGGCTGGTGCACAGTTCTCTCGTCTGCGTATGGTTCGTTAAATTTTCGTGAAAATTTCGCGCACCAGCGAGAAATTCTCTCGTTATCGGCAAAAGTGCAGCACGGTTCAGAGTATTGTGTAATCCGGACAGATTTGTCATTCTTATCGAGAAGCCGGTTCTCTCAGGTCGATGGGGTTACCGATTGCGTAAGAATCGCTTGGATGAAATTGATTAGTACTTACGTTATTCTGGAAATATTTTATCTTCTATAAAGTTGTGATGATGTAATAAGCATAGTTGTGGAACATCTTGGCATAATTATATTTAATCACAACTTCTTCTTTAATTCCTTGCATTATAATTATATTTAGCTAACTCTGATATAATTTCTTCTAGGTAAAGAATAATTATGAAAAAAATTACTAGCAGCTCTCCAATAAAGACTGCAGCTCCCCTTTTTTAAAATAAAATGAAAATTACTGTTTCATTGGGTGTACCTACTAATTAATTCTGTAATCTTTCTTTTCTTATTTAAAAATTTCTTTTTAAAAAGTCTAAAATTAGAAATGCAGAATTGGGAAATTTATAAATATAAAATTTCAAATGTTAATATTTCCAAATTTCCAATTAACGTAATTTTTATTATTATTATATTTTCACGCTACTTTTCAAATACATAGAAGCGCAAGAAAATACTTAAAATACTGAAGGCACTTTACAAAAATCTTTGTAAATAATTACCTTTGATTTCATTAATGATATAACAGCCCTTTTATTATAAATTCTTAGTAGTCTCTATTGGAAAAAATTGTTACGTTACATCGTCGCGTCTTTCACGAAGAAAGTTGTCAATTATTTCAGCAATTTCTCGAAATTTCTCGATCGTTTAAACGAAAAGAATGGAAGATTGGTAGTAAACGTCAGCGGCAAGGGTTCCGTCATACGTCATCGACGAGGGCTCGAAATACGGGACAGGTTTTTCGTCGGGAACAGAAGCGTACAGATCGTCGACGGGCAAATAATAGAAAAGCCGCGGCAATCGTCTTTCGTCAGCATTGACAGAGACGTATTGGATTTTTATTGGGTTTCGAGCAATCAATGCGGCGGACGCGTGTCGCTCGCCTCCCAAGGATCAGTGAAACATAATGGAAAATCAGTACCTACGAAAAACCATTTTCCCATCTCCCTTTTCCCTTCTCGTTCTTTGGTCAACTTTTTTCTACGGGAACGTTTAAACGATATTAGCCAGAAATTCGAGATCGCGAATTTCGTTTGGAACTGCTGGAAAACGTGGCCACTGTATCTGCCAACGAGATATTTGCAAGTCTGAGTGGAAAGTTTTTCGATCCTGTTCGAAAACGAGACTGTTACCGGAGGGGAATCGTGAAATATTTTATTAGAGCCCCTCTGAAGCGTGGTCTTTACAGAGAGAAAGAATTTTTGAGCTCGCGATTTCGAGGGTTTAAGTAGAAGGAGATACTTTTAAAAATTGTAAAAGTAGGACTCAATTTCTTAGCTTAGAGTTTCTTAAACTGCAATCCGCGACCTGATGCAAGTTTTCAAATAGACGAAATTTTTTCGAAAATATTATAATAATCGTCCTGTGAAACGTACACCCTGTTTCAAAATTGTCAAATTTTACAATTGTAATTAAAGGTAACAAATTAACTCAAAAAGTATCGCAATTAATTAACGTTTACTTGTAAACTTACAATTGTTTCAATGCTCTATATTTATATTAAAGAATTAAAAGAATTACTGTATAGTGTCGATTCATTATCAAGTGTACTTAAATTCCAAAATGGGTACGAAACGCGAGGTGTCACGATGTTTCGGTTAATTAACAAGAAATAAATTGTTTAATTAAATGTTTCGTTGCGATGCACATTTGAAACGCGACAGAGGACGGTAATTAAAGGGGGATCGAATCGAATTTAACGAGACAGCAATTGTTTCCTACGGGAATGGTGTCATTTGAAGTTTTATATCGTCCCAGGGTATTTGTAAATGCCGTTTAATCGATAATTAAAGCGAATGCATTAAACTTAGGAAATATTTAAATTTCTGTTTGAAAGTTGTTTATTTTCTTTGCATACATTTCTTATAGGATATTGTGCAAAAATTTTATCAACTAACCAAATGGTATATTTTTGATTTCAGGTGCCACTTTATTATTTGATGTTGAGTTAATCAATATCAGCGATTCTCCACCAACTGCAAATGTGTTCAAAGAAATTGACAGCAACCATGACAACCAGTTATCCCGCGAGGAGGTGAGAACAATGGCAAGATCTCTTTTAATTTCTTTTTAAGGGTCATTGTTGGTGACGGTTGTAGCATAAGTATAGTTTTAATAATTATGTATTAAGTACAACTTGCCAAAATTTAGTTCGACAAATTTTTATTTTGCATGAAAAGTTAATCAAACTCATTCGCGAGAATTTTGTGTTACAACTTTTTCTTGTGGTTTAATAAAAAAAAATCAACTAACAGCTCCTTTTACGTTGTAAAATTGGTGCGGATCAAAGTAGAGACCAATCACGACATTGCTGCCTGCCAGCTTTATCTCTGCGTGCAAGTGCAAAGGATTAACGTGTACACATTGTTCAGGGGAAAGAGTTGTAGCTCGAAACGTTTTTCACCTTTTTTCGACCGTAACAAACAGAAGCAACTAAATCCTTTGCCATTTTTCCACCCTTGCTTCGTGTATCTATATGTATATGTGTAGATACATTTTGATCGCTTTGAAATATTGTGCAACTTCTCGAGCGGAGATATATTACATCGAAGTGAATTTGGAACTATGTTTGCAATTTTTCATTTCTTCTATGTTTCAATAAACAGAAACATAATTTATTGAACAATTTTCAAAATATATTTAGTAATAGCCTGGAATTTACAAGGATCACATTTTGTCATTAACACTAGGGTAACTTAGACCTTCTTCTAAGGTGGGCCAGATACCTTAGACATTTTGAAATTTTAGAATTTTGGAACTTTAAAATCTTGAAACTCTGGATTTTTAATATTTGGAAATTCTGAAATTTTCAGGATTTGCGACGTTGCAATTCTGAAGTGTAGAAGATCTGAAATTTTGGAATCTTAAAATTTTACAATAGTGATGGTCCACATTTTTGGGGAGGGGTCACTCAAGATTTTAAAGGCTCACTCTGGCCCCTATCTAATTACGCTGATAGTCATCAGAGTTTATTCTTGAACGACGGTGCCGAGTCACTCGTGACCCAGATCTGATGCTTAGACTAACAATAAAATAAACATTAACATTTTCTTCATTCAATTGAAATTATTGCTAACAGCCCGTCGTTGAAGAATAAAGAAAAGAAAAATGCTTCCTTGAAATTGAATTTCGTGTTATGTTTGCGCAGGTGAGCGAGTACCTGAGGAAACAGCTGATCGAAGCGGAGCAGGGTGGCAGCGAGAACGAGGAGGTAAAGAAGATGCTGGGGGAACACGATAAGCTAGTGGAGGAAATCTTCCAGCACGAGGACAAGGACAAGAATGGCTTCATCTCCCACGACGAGTTCACCGGGCCGAAGCACGACGAGCTCTGAAGTCTTCGTGCCGCGTCGCCGTGTCTTCGAGCACCGCGTCGCCGTCGGCGTCGTGTCTCGCGCCACCACGTGTTCACATCCGTGCGGAATCGCCTCTTCGAATCCTATCCGGTCCGCGAACGTCACCACTGAGAGTCACAGACAGTTGTGTATCGATCGTGATCGATCGTTTTATCCGTGGACTATCGAACATCCGCTTCGTCTGCAACTCGGTGAAAATCTTTCGAGGGACAAAAGAGATGCTGAAGAAACGGTTCTCTTCCTCGTTGGGAAGTTTCTCTCGCCAGTGTTGATCGAAGAAGCAGAAAAATATAACACTCGACGCTCATCAAATATAAATTCGTTCGCAGGCATTCCTCTTCATCGATCGTCGGACTGACTGTTACTCTGTACAGTAAGGAAATCAGGAGACGAAACTCTCTGTACATTCTCGAACTGGAACGCTCGAACGCGTTAACGAAGACGAAGAGGTTCCCGAGGAAGAGAAGCAACAGACTCGACGCTGTTGATCGAGCGAAACAATAATTACACGGGCTCCGAAGAGGGAAAGCTACGTCTGAAAAGTTTTCAAAGGACCTTACGCTTTTCGCTCGTGGATGCTGTTCACAATGACGCGTTTAAACGCGAAACAACAGTTAAGTGCGCGGCTTTGAAGAAGAGTAAACCGCGAAGACACTGGTCGAGTGCTGGTCGAAATCCTGGCGGGAAGCGAGGCTGTTTTACTTAACATAATGATATATATATATATATAAATATAAATATAGATAGAAAGAAAAAGAGTGACAGGGAGGACGGAAGAAAGAGAGAAAGATTATGAAAGATAGAAGAGAGAAAAAGAGATAGGGTGAGAAAGAGAAACCGAGAGAAAGTGTTTTTTCTACACGACTATAGTTGTTAGCGTATATCAATTAAGCGCATCGACTTAACGGTGCTATAAATCACACGCGAAAGAAACGTTTCTGTCCTTTCTCTCGAAAGCTTCTTCTTTTGTTTCTTTTTTTTTTATCTAACCCTCTTCGCTGTATCACAACACCCCCGATCCCCTTTTTCACGAGTATCAAACCCCACCGGCATTCTCGGTCACGAATGTCACGCGAGAAGCTTAAAATTGGACCGGAAAAGGAAACTCGAAGTGGGAAACGACGTAAACAGAGAGAGGAAAAAAAAATTTTCGAGGATGCGTGGTGGAGATGAATGGCGGTCGCATAGACGAGATCTTTTTCTCGCATGATCGAAGCTATCATTATTACATTTTTAAATTGATACGTTTTTATTACTACATTATATTGTATGTTGTTAAAGATGGACGAAGGTTAATTAATAAATCGTGTGTCTTGAGCACAGTTTGTTATACAAGGCGAGTTGGTTCATTCCTACCCCACTTTAAATCTTATTCCCTTTGTCCTTTTCGTTGATTTAAAGGATTCGATTTTTATTGAAGACAAATTGAATCATTCCTCTTCATGAAATATTAGATTCATACATACATATGAAATACCAGATTAACAGCCAGTGACGTTCCTAGCATCACCCAGTGCGGTAATTCATGATATTTAAAAGCGTAATTCATTATATTATTAACTTGGAATTATTTTATTTTGTAAAATGTCGTCGGTATCGATCATAAGCTGAAAAAATTGGGTGTCACTCAGTGTTGGCCACACTCTCCCCCTTCCCCCAAAGACAGCGCTGTCAACAGCATGATTAATAGGCTGCTACATTAAGTATACATTCGTTATTAAATCAGGCTTCCCCCCAAAAAATGGCGGTATACGGTTTCCCACCCATCTTCCGGTAACTACAGATCCAACAAGACTGGACATGTTTTTGTTTTCGAGCCACCACCAACGTGGACAGAGCGAAGAGGCGCAGCAAGGGGAAGCTGATCAGGCCCTTTAGTCAACAATAGATATTATGGGTAGGTCCATCAGGGCCGCAGGCGTCAGGAGTGGGCGCTCCGGACGCCTTTGCACGCAGCCCGAAGAAAGCTCGGCACCGGATGCGATCCCCGGTGTCAGAGGTAGATCTTTGTTTCGTTCTCCCCTGAGATGGGCACTTGTGTGCTAGACATGGAAGGCGCCGGAGTAATACACATAAAGTCCCGGAGCCCTCCTTGAGCGCCAGTATTGGTCGCCGTGGGGTTTTAGTCAGTAGGAATCGGACACTCCCCTGCCGCCCCCCAGGGACGGTAGGGAGTCTTGTGCAAGATTTCTCCACGTTAAAAAAAAAAAATATTTACAGCCACTGATTCGAGTAAAGGTAGCTGGCTGCGGCACCGTTGTCAGTCATTCGACCTAGCGCGAAATGAAACGTTCTCAGTCTTATGGTGACCGCCGAGGGGTGCGGATCTACCACCAGTTAAACATAGATATACTCTTATTTAATTTTGTGCGATCATTTAATTTGCTATATTTCTTAACTTATTGAACAAACACATTAGGAGGATGAGCGTGTTGATTTAATTACTTCTGTTTGCCTCGCATATTATTTTATCCTTTTATTCATTATTTTACTCCTATTTGTGGGACTTGCCGGGACCACACTCAGAAGTCATTTATTATTTTATCCCTCTTCATGGCCCCAGACTCACCCTCTCCAGTTGTTCATAATCTTATTTCCTTTTATGGACCAAGGCCACCCTTCGCAGATATTTATCTTTTTCATCCTTTTCATGGATCCCGCGGGGACTACCCCCAAAATCATTGTATACCCGTATGCCTTGTACCATTCCATTCCTTACATCTCTGGATTCCTCACATCCCTGCTTTCTTTATATACCTGCATTCCTTACATTCCTGCTTTTCTTATAAACCTGCATTTCTCAAATCCCTGCTTCCTTTATATACCTGCACCCCTTACGTCTCTGCATTCCTCACATCCCTGCTTTCTTTATATACCATCCCCTACATTCCTGCTTTTTTTATAAATCTGCATTTCTCACATCCCTGCTTCCTTTATATACCTGCATCCCTTACGTCTCTGCATTCCTCACATCCCTGCTTTCCTTACATCCTTGCTTTCCTTACATGCCTGCATTCCTTAACACCTCTGCATCCCTTACATCACTGCATGCCTTACATCCGCACATCCCTTATACGCCTTTAACCATTACAACCCTTACATCCCTGTACCAGAGCGCCAGAGTTTCTGCGAAATGTAGTTCCTTTTTTGGCCGTCAGAGGACGCCGATTCGACATCGAAATTTTAGTTCACATTTTTGCCGCCAGAGGGCCAGAAATTGAGCAAGATTTAGTTCCTTTTTTCGCCACCAGAGGGCGCTGATTCGACATCGAAATTTTAGTTCACATTTTTGCCGCCAGAGGGCCAGAAATCGAGCAAGATTTAGATCCTTTTTTCGCCACCAGATGGCGTTGATTCGACATCGAAATTTTAGTTCACATTTTTGCCGCCAGAGGGCCGGAAATTGAGCAAGATTTAGTTCCTTTTTTCGCTACCAGAGGGCGCTGATTCGACATCGAAATTTTAGTTCACATTTTTGCCGCTAGAGGGCCAAAATTTCTGCAAGCTTTAGTTCCTTTTTCTGCTCCCAGAGGGCGCTGATTCGACATCGAGAATTTAGTTCACATTTTTGCCGCTAGAGGGCCAAAATTTTAGGTCCGATTTTGAATGCTAGAGACTGCAATGCATGGATATAAAGGGTTGCAGAGATGTAAGGGACACAGAGATGTAAGGGTTGCAGAGATGTAAGGAATACAGAGATGTAAGGGTTGCTGGGGTGTACTGAATAAGGGCTGCAGAAATGTACAGGTTATAGGAATATAAATGACTCAAGAATTTGTAAGGGAAGCGAGGGACAGGCAAGAGATACAAATGACACAAGGGATGCAAAGGTTCTGCAAGGGTTGCAAGGTATACGCAAGAGACCCTAGGTCTACAAGAAGTTAGCCGAGGTTCACAAGAGCATCCCTTGTGAACTTATTTGATGGGCTCTGAAAATGAAGTGACCTTACCTCTCGGTGGTCGCTATAAGACTGGAGTAGTTGTCACCTCGGTATAGGTCAAACGGTTGACAGCAGTGGGACAAGGGTGGGGCGTAAGTACAAGGCCCATAAGGAAGTATAAAATAATGAATAATTGGGAATGGTGGGCCTTCGTCCGTAAAGAGGGACATGATGATAAATAATTGCAGTGGGTGGTCTTTACGAGTGCCCAAAAGGGGGATAAAATGCCTTCTTGATGATGACTTACCTTGTCCTCACCAAAATTCACAAACCCTGCGAATTGTAAATCAAAGGATTTAAGAAGTTAAGGTAGAAAATCAATGAAACAATTCTTTTATTACTGTTCTCAAGATTTATTTCAAGAATCATTCTCGTCGAAAATTACAATAATTGCGCGCACAGGTCGCGCGATAGTAAGGTAATGATTAAATTAATTAAGTTTCTAGGTTGCTCCTCCCGCAGAACAAATCACACCGTTTACAAATTTTCTAAGTATTGAAATACTTTACCTACGTACCTGTAGAATTGATCACAATTCTTTCTTTTTTATACAATAAAGACAATACTTTATTTCTAGACTTTATTAACACGTTAATTGACGCAGTGGAAAATCATCTCATTTACAAAAGATATAATTATTTCAATTTTCAATAATTCTCAAATATATGATCATCTGATTTCACAAAGATACGGTTATTTAATTTTTAATCAAAGTCAGCAAGATCTCCAAGGCAATTAACATGTGAATTTTTCAAAAATTCACTGTTCATCGACGGATTAGAAATTGGTATTAGGCACATGTTTGATACGTTTGTCCATTTATCGTTTCTGTCGTTCGAGTTTATAAATCCTCATGAAATTCAAAAGAGCCTTCTTTCCATACTTCGAAATAAAATTGATTCGAGTGTCGCTGAAAAATGTTTTCTATTTTGTGCCAGAGCATTTATTTCTAGGAAACTGTCACCATGGAAGATGCATCGGAAAAGTTTCCTTTTTTTCACGAAGAAAGATGGAGAGGATATAAAGTTTCAAAGTTGCCGCATTCGCTTGCGAAATGCTGACCCATAAGCTTGCTCCTGCCGCATTCGAGCTACCGGAAGTCGTATGAAACGAGGACTTTCACGAACGAATCTTCATTATTTACCGTCGTTTTTATCCCTCTGGTCGACCCGTGAACATCGAAATCGTATTATGAAATTTAATTAAAATCGTCTAATTTCGACACTTTTTATCATATAGGTGACAGGTTCGTTAAAAACAAACGCTCCTATGGAAAAATGAATTTTTCCCTTCTAATGTTAATCCGCAAAGTTTAATTAACGGTACGAGGAATTTGTTTCAACGAAAATTTTCCGTCATTTGATATTTTCTAAAAATCGTCAATCAATCGTGCAATTACACTTACAATTTCCTGGACTCGCCTATTAAAAATGACCCAACGAAGGAAATTTACGTATTTATAATAGCCATTGCTATAAAACTTTATTTTCTTGAAATTGATCTAATATTAATTAAATAAAATCACTTCTATAGCTGTGATCGCAATAGCATGCACTAAATTAAATTCTATCCCATCAAAATCACGAATCATCTTTTACAGTTTACAGCCTTTCGAATGCATTTTCACGTGAAATAATTAGTTTGCGTTATCAAGATATTATAAATATATCTGTTTAAAACATGGCTTTTGACTGTCAAGAGACTGTACTTATACAGTAACTAAATTTGGTGACACAAAAGTCATGGACACTATGTATTATAATATTAAAGATCAAGACTTACCATCACGCGAAAACGCACCCTTAAATTTAAGCAATTTGTTGCCAAGATTGTTTAAAAAAAGGAACGACAGTGCGCGCAATAAAGTCGAAAAATAGAATCGAAGATATCGATTTTTGTCTTTGACAACAAACCTCATAAAACCGATTGCTTTCTGTCAATATACAGAAAGTTCGATCGAAATACATGCTTGTATACCTATATATATATGTATATGTATATATATAATTCTATTAACGTATAACCTTGGTGTGGGTTTGCGATTCCGTTGTTCGTTTTGCATCAAGTTCGTAGGTGTCAGCTTGGTGAAATCGCAACATTCTGGCCGTGTCATCAACGTCCTATCGAAGGTTCGATGATCTTTCTTCTCTTCTCGTGGACGAGGTGCGGGGTTTGATTTTTATCACAGTCAGTAGCCCTTGATGTAGGCGGCGATGTGTTTCTTCTCCTCTTCCGAGAGGCCATTCTTCAGCGTTCTACGCACTACAGATTTTAGATTATTAGTATTTATTTCTATTCAGCTGGTATTAGAGTTTGAACATTTCATGTAATAAAGATTTTGAGTAACGTTCATATTTTAACGTCGCATTTTTTCGATTTCAAATTAGCTTAATTATCATTGGCGAAGTTAGGTAGAAGCCAGAGTGGGCCTAATCCTTTTATCCTTCTGAGATTCTAAGATTCTAAACTTTCAAAATTCCAAGGTTCTAAGATTCTAAGATTCTAAAATTCTAAAATTCCGAAACTGTAAAATTCTAAGATTCTCTTAAAAAATTTAATGGAATCAAAGATATTAAAGACTACCCCAGCCAAAAATCCTAGTTACGCCAATTACTATTTTAATACCTTAATATTTACTTCAAAATAATAATTTTGAATGCCCCAATTTTCCAATATTAAAAATACTCCACTGTCCTAAAGCTTCAACATTCTAATATTCCAATATTCTAATACTATGATTTATTTAATAACATATCAACTTTAAACCCATTAATATATAAACACATTGGCAGTTAAAACTAATAAATGTTACAAAATTAAATATACACGAAATGTTCATTTATCTAGTAAACAAAATAATCCGTTGGATGGGTCAGTCAGAGGCAAACATTCCAAATTAAGTTTGCATGCAATGAAAATGGATTTCCATTGTTAAATAATTCTCTACATACAATTGTTCCATGAAAATCAATTAGAGGATAAAGATTCGAGTTAGTGAATCGTGAAAATACTGTATACGTACTTCGAACAATGCTGTTCAGAAGATTTACGACAGCATCAATGAAAGTATTAATAGCAAACGATTTAGACGTTTCAAACAATGATTGATCAAGTGCAAATTAATTCGGTATTTATTATTAATACTGCGTGCATCGACTGATCACATAACAAATGACTGGTTTGAACTTGCATATATAATTATGAATAGTGGTTAATAGATTCGGAAAATTATCACGGGTATTTGCAGCTTTTAGCTTGAATAATTTTGATGTTCGATGCTTGTGATTACTGTTATCGAAATTATTAAAGACTTAATAATAATTCAAAGGAATTTACATTGAAAAATAGTAATTCCATGTTACAATTTTCATTTTTAATACAGTAATAGTTATTGAAAGTTTTGTAATTAAGTCATTCATTTTATTTGCAACAACCTAATACTTTAATGAAACTATTGAAATAAAGAAATGAAAGGTATAAAAAAAATTCAGAAAGGAAGCGGTGAAAATGTATAATAAATTATCGCGTTGTATGATCGATTTTATTTGATGTTGTTAACGAACAGAAAGCAGTGTAAGCGCATTGTCTCTCGGTAATTAGGGTTTCATTATCGGCCGTAAACACGAGATCGATAACATGGTACACCACTGGGAACGTGTTTCGTAAGTGCTTGGTTACGGATAACAAAGCTTATTACTTTGCTCTTCGAAATTCAGATTTTTTTTCCTTCTTTTTCGTAATAAGCGTTCGTTAACTACTGCTTCATAATCTCGAACGGTCAATTAATTTCGAAACTGCTATTATAATATCCTTAAACGTTTCTACCATCCTTCTATTCCAAATTTCTATACATATGCTGCCTTAAAAAGGACGTACATATATCATAAATGCTACAAAATAAATCATAAAATTCTTTGCAATTTATTATTTGCAACGAGAGTTTCTGAAGTAATCCATGAAAGCTTATTAATAGATTAGTCGGAAATCTGTTCTTGTCAATTATTTCACTCACCACAAGTGCACAGTACCGAGCATAATAGCATTCCCCAAGAAGAATGGCGACAAGCTCCCCCTATAGACTTCCCCCTTCCCAGGCTCCCATCTCTTCTGGTAGGTAGCTTCAGGGAAAATGACAACGTAGGGTAAGAGGCCCCATATATATATATACATATAAATTTCGAGGATTTCTGCTTATCGTATATCGGAATTTTCCCTAGGGAAGTCTACTTTGCTCGGTACTGTACACCTTTTTTGAGACAGCCTGTATCATTCCTCTAAGCTTTAATACCAATTACTCCGACAATTATGTGAAACTGGGTCGTTAGGTATTAAAAGGGAAGATTTCTCTTCGTTAGCAAAGATTTTTTAGCGAACATCGAGTTGGCCAATTTTCATGCACCGTTGACTTCCGGTTTCCCGGATAAATCGGTCGCGCTTCGACTGGCCGACAAACAGGAGGACCCGGGCGACCCGATTTATTTACCGTGACGTGTGTGCGTTCCGCCCGCCTCGGGGACACGACTGTGCGCCGCGACGCTCCGTGATCACGTTATTAACGAGACGCCGTCGATTCGTGTTTATCGTGTATCGGTTCGTAGTCGCTCTCTATCTGAACTACTTAGTAAATATTTGCCGCAACAAACAAGGAGGATCGATGCCAACGAAATTATTCACTCGTTGCTTCTTTCGACATGTACAGACACACACATACAGGGGGATGATAATTTGATTCCTGGCAGTATTTGATATCAAAGGAGCATCGAAGCTGTCTGATATTTCGTTGATTCCTTCACTATGATAAAGGATATTTAACGAGATCGAGGAAGTCGTTTAAACATGATTGATCAAAGTCAAATGATTTCTGTTTGGATACAAGTTGATGCGATTATATGGAACTATTAGCGAAAGGTATTAGCTGGAATTTAATTAGCACTCTCAGGTTTATGTTTATTCGGTTGGAAGACCTTCAGAAAATCTACTGACAGTTTCACCATTGGTGTAACTAGGTAATAGGGAATGTTGTGGTCCTAGCTCTCTAAAAACTGTGAGTTGCCATCCTCTTATCATTTCAAGATTCAAAGATTCAAAGATCCAAAAAATGAAAAATTAAAAAATTCAGAAATCCAAAAATCCAAAATTCTGTGGACTTGTCTCATCCCTGCAAAAAGTTTCAGTTACGCCAATGCCTTTGATCCTCTAATTGCGTTACTAAATATGAATTTCACATCGTCCAGTATTATTTTCACGTTTATTATTAATTTTCTGTTTATATTATTGTCGTATTTCTCTTATTGTCATCTGCCTTTGAAATAATTCATTATTCTCTTTCAAAGCAGATGCACTATAAAGACCAATCAGCCTCGTGTCAGTCATTCTCACAATAAATGGACTCCCTCAGGCTCGTGTAACAAGCCTGTTACGTAATGTACAAGCAGAATTATTTCGTGAAATGATTAGGGAGTGGAACCGACAGGTATATGAACGTTGTACATTAAGGTGTATTACGGTAACATCGCAGAAATATTATACGTAGGGGAACGCGGAGCAAGTTACATAAGGCACTTTCGTAATTCTACTATCAGTAATATTAAAGCCTGTTTAACCTGAATGAATTCATTAATAATTACAAGCCACTGGTGTATTCATAGCTCATCCATGTAATAATAATCGTTTTGATTGGCAAAAATAATCCTTTCACTAATTGATATAAATTATTCAATTTAAAACATGCTGTAATTAGTAAAAACTATAATTTTCTTGTTCACAATTCAATCGCTTCTTCGATATCGAAGAGTATTTTGACTTTTTGTAAATTATTTAATTTAAAATATGGCATAGTTAACAAGGACCATCATTTTTTTGTCCACAAGTCAATTATTTCTTTAACTCTCAAGTTTCCATTATACTCTTCTAAGGTGAAGATTCAATTTTGTGCCAATGATTGTATTGATTATAATAATTTTCCTACTATGTTCCTTTTCCACGCTTCTGCTTTTACAATCAACGATTGCAATTCGTTAACTACGTTTAACTTTCGAAGATTCTACATACATTACAGTAAATTAGGAACTTCCTTGTCGACATGCAGTAGACGTGGTTGAAAATTTCCACGGACGGCGCGTGAATATCATGCGAAATGTAACCGAGCACGGAAACTTCGATGTAAAAACTTGTGCCAATGTTAGGAAGACATATTTTCTTGGCTTAAAGAAACATCTTTCACCGCGAATCACGTTGCACGCGAACGTCAGAATTTCTCTTTACACTTCCTGTTCCGTCTCGAATGACGCAGTTTTGAATTAGAATGAAAAATTTAATGCCATTCGCATATATAGTAATCTGTCTATAACATTTTAAAATTACTTTTAATATTAATATCGTGAAAATTAAGATTTTTATTTTCTTTAGGGATACTTGCTTTACTCGACACTGTACATTTTAAAATGTTTCAATGAAAGATGATTTTACAACGTGTAGTGAATTGAAAATCTCGTGCAGTTTCACGTGTCAGCCTTCGACAAATAATTACGAATTCATAGAAATTTGCAATTCCAATCTAGCGAGCAATTAAACAAAAAGGAACTATGGAAAAATAAACTCCTAAATAAATTTCGTTCGAAGGCAACCGATACACGTTCGCCAAGATTTTTGTTTAAACATCAAACCTTATTATTCTTTCGAATATGAAAACAGAAACGAAGTGCCTTGACGCGTTAAAGTCCCTGAATTTATCGCTTTTGGGTAAACTTCGAAAAATAAATGCTGCCATATTTATATGCTACGTATGCAAATTCGATGCTCGCGAATCCATACATACGTGTTCGTCAAGCGCTTCGCTTGAATTATTCAGGATTCCGTCGATTTATCACTTTCCCTTTATCCGAATGCATGACAACCGTGTATACAGCGTTCGTGATCATTAAACATCGGCCAAAGGAAGCTTCGTAAGAATTCATTGCGCTTCCACCAGCACGTACTAGCGAATTAAGAGTCGAAATCATTTCCTCCTCGTTCATGCAAATCCGCCGTGTCTTTCGGGCAAAGTTAATTGCTTGACACGTTCATTGCCATGGTGAAAGTGGGCATATATATCAAGGCAATTATTAACCCTTTTGACAGGGCTATAGTTGGAGGGATGGTTGAAAATTAACGTTGCTATTTATTGGGCCAGAATTTTTACTAATTAATTTTGATTAATTTGATCGGTATTTATAAGAAAAATATTACTACACAATATATAAGTGATTAGTACTATACTAAACAGTATTTCAATTAAAATACTTTCTTTCTTGTGATTTCTAAAAGTATTTAATTGAGGGTACAAAATTAACCCCCTCCATCTTTTTAAGTACACATTGGAAACAATAAAAACGATTAATGCAAAAGATTAGACTGATCTGTATGAAAATAATCATAGATATATACTGATGATTTAATAAGTAATTACCATTAATTAATAAATATACTGACCAAGTAAATTTTCCCCCAAATTAACACAAGGAGGTACTTATAAGTTGTATCCATTATTTAGATACAATAGACGATTGTTTTGTTAAAATATATTTTCTTTGCCCGATCTGAAAGCATAGTCTGATAAGGATCGTTTCTCAAAATGACTGTATGAAGATGTAGACTGTTTTAGCTCTGGCAGAAGTTCGGTTAAGGTAAATGCATTCGCCTTCTGCGATTTCTTGTAGAGTTGAGGAAACTTGTACCGCAGGGGTGTAGGTTACACGCAAAAGGCAAACTTTTTACTTAAACTTTCCATAAGCCTGAACTTATTCGACTTTTCAACCGAAATCACGAAACCTGATGATTTTCGAGGAGGAATCGAACCGTTCCCTCGCCATGAAATTCCAATACGCAAATCTGCAACGTGTACTCTTAACCTTATTCAACATTCTTTGCTTTATACAAAAACGTGTACACTAATACTGTATTAATTTTTCACAAAGATTTTTCACAAGAAAAGAGGGACCCGTATAATAAAATTTCAAATTTAATTAAAAAATATGAAGAGTCCTTATTTTCGTTTGTACCCAACCCTATTAATATTTCTATTAAACACTAAACACTAATATCAAACAACAAGCAAAAGAAAACCACATTATAAATAAATCACGCGGCAAGTCTGGCCAAGAGAATCCTAATTAAGGTCTTAAAGAAAGGAAACACCGACGTTAAAACACTCCATAGGGACACATGCTGAAAGGGACAAGCAGGGGATGCTCAGACAGAAAGAAAGAAGCAAAGATTGCATTCCAGTAGCCGCAGAGAAGATAAGAGTAAAAAGAGATACGCACAAAGACAGAGGAAGAGAAAAAAAAAGAAAGTTGTGTTTAATCGAAAAACCAGCGAACCTTCATCGCGTCGGTCACGATCGGTAGCCCTTCAGGGCTGATACCCTTCCGGTGTGGTGTTGTTCTCCCGGGTGCGCGATCGCTTCACTGTCAGACAGAAAAAAAGAGGAAGGGAAGAACAGCTAGGCTACCCCGTTAACAACCACCACCGTATATACAGGGTGTCTTGAATTAGTTAATACCATCAGTTAAGGGATGATTCCACGTGCAATGTAAAATAAATTTTTATTCTGTATTTAATTTTATTGTTAAGAAAACTGAACGTTTCAAATCAGATTTTTCTAATTATTTGCATAAAAATAATGACTGATGATACATTTAAAAACTATTAACTTGTATACATAGGTATAGAATGATACACTATAATTTTAATTATTCGAAAACAATTTTACTGTATATTTTTTATTTGTTTTTCTATATAGAATCACTCTCCGGTTGATGGTAGTTGGGAGACACCCCGTATATATACGTGTACAAGCTTATACACCCTTTTAGAAGACTGTACACGAATGTATACGTATGTGTAGTCAAGCTATCACCACACCCCTTGCCACACGCCACCTTAAACTGGATAATTCGGGATAGAAAAAGAGGAAGAAAAAGGAAAAACGAGGGTAGAGCTTTTCCACAAGTGTGAAACGCCTCACGAATTGCTGGTGTACGCACGCTAACCCAACGACAATTGTTATTTTCCCTCAACGATCCTCGATTCTTCGCCTTATGGCTACTCGCCCTCTGCACCCCAGGTTATTATACCATTTCTCTTACGGCGAATGGGTGTAATGTTTTCTCTAACACCTTCTTCGCCGAATGCATCGACTATACAGGAGGATACATCTTACTTGTGTAAATTAAGCACAATTCTTGTAGTTTAAATAATAAATCACGATTTTCTTTTTTCTTAAGGTAATGGAAACAATTTACCCTTAATTAGGACAATATTATTAAAAAAAAAATTGTTTTATGTTGATAAATATGAAATAAATAGAAGATAAATAGAAAATTTCATTAAGGATCGAGAAGAATAGTGGGTGCCTGTTATTTTATAAATTTTCACGTTTCGAAATATCAACGTTTCATCTTCCGTTGATTTTGTTTTCACGTCCTCTTTTGTTCTATTTCATAGAGGAGAAAAACTCTATTGAAGTACCGATAGTACTGGAAAACAAATTCCCGACGATATTCTGCAAACAACAAAAGCTAACGGCCCCGGTCGAGTTTAGAGCGAGAAAATCCGTCGGATTTTTCAAACGTCGATGCGTCATTCGCCTATGAAAACGAGGGCCGCGACTCTGAAAACCTCCGAAACTGAATGGCTGCAATATAAAATGCAAATGACACTTCTGTCAAACTGTAGAGGCTCCTCGGTTTCGTTGAAAAGGCGTTCGAAAAAAAAGTCTGCCACCGCAGATGTTGCTTGGAAAATGGTTTAAAAATCTTTTACCCGACCTGCGCGACTGCACGGCCCTGGAACTTTGTCCTCGTCGAGGCAATTTATTTATTCTAGCCGCTGGTATCCGATCATTTTTACATCAGCTTCTCAACCTCCGGAGAGGCATATTGAAAATTTCACTAGAAATTCGTTATAAGCGTACCAGAAATTCTTAGATGCTAAGTTTTATGATGATCAGAAATAATTTCTTGAAGTTTTCCACTTCTTTCTGTATCCTTGAGGGATAACAAAACCACTATGGTGGCTCCGACCTTACATGCAACGCGGACATTTTCTTAATATCATTTTTTGTACAATTTGAAAAGATAAGATTGAAAAAAAGTTGGCGAGTTTGAGAGAAAAGATGATGGAAGATCGGGTGCTAATAAGGTGCTCAAGAAAAATTTGACGACGATCGAAGGGACGATATCATTGATCGTCCTCGATCACTGGCGTTCTGAATTTTGGCTTCAAACTTCCGTTTATCGATCTATCATTTACTACGTCTCTATTTATGGACCGAATTTTTCTGTTTTGAGGCAAAAAGAAAATCCGAAGTGTTGAGAAATTTCTTTAAATAGAAGGAAATTCAACTTGTAATATACTTGAAAGATAGATTTTCGTTTCTATTTTATAGTAGGGCACAGAGACGTTCCCAAGACGCGAATATTAATCTTTAAATTGATTCTATAATGTATCGAAGCTGCTCTATTTCCCAGGGGAATGCAATAATAAGCGAAGCGAAATAAACCTCGAGAAATGATAAACGAAAATTGATAATTACACGCTCTAAAGTCACGTTGCTACGTTCAAAGACGGTCTGGAAGAGCAATTTCCACAGGGAGAATTCCCCTAAGGATACGGATAAAAATGCGCAAGCATTTCGTCCCTCAAGGGGAATCTTTTTAATTAATTCTAACGCGGCTTTTACCTAATATTTTTTGTCGATGAATTTATAAAATCTATCATTAAAAAAAAAATTCTAGATAAAATAAAATAAAATGAATTTGTATAATATACCAAGTGTATATTGTAAGTTTATATTATTTTATAAAATACTCAACAGTACCAATTTTTTACAAGAACAATTATAAGAAAAACATGTTTCAAATTTTAGTAGCGATTAATCAATCTTTGAAAAATTGTATTCCCCACAGAGGACACGTTCAATCGAACAGCTAACTCATCGCAAGGGATCGTCTATCTGTTCAATCGAGCATTATAGAGCAGGATACAAAAAGGACCTTATTCCTGACATTCCTTTTCTTACAAATAATGAAAAACGAAGATTTTATAAAAATATTATAAACAGTCTGAATGTGAATGAGAAACTTTCGATGGTGTACTATAATCCAAGGAATGGTTAAAAATTTTTTATGAATTATAGAAAATTTTAATTAATAATAAATTTAGGAAATACCAAGATTAAAAATTGAAAATTTAATCCGTGTTCTATGAACGATCGATATTTCATAAGAGAATCAAGAACGACAGTCACGTAACTTACGAACGATCGATATATCGCGAACGCAAATGAAAAAAAAAAAATTTGGAAAAAGAAATGCCAACGAGCCGTCGAAAAATTCGCTCCATAAATATGCCGTGAAAGAGACGCAAGAAACATATTGGCAGCGGTCCGATCGAACGATCGATCTTTCGCAGGGACAGAAATAGATCGATCAGCACGGAAGAAGGGAGGCCAGGTGCAGGGTGCGGGGATCACACTTACAAGACTTACGATCGGCGTGTCTGGTCCTCTTGCGTTCCCTGGGCGTCGTCCTGGTCGCTGGCGTTTTCGTCGCTGTCTTCACCAATGATTCCAGCAACTCGTCGTCCCCGTCAGTCAGGTTTCCATTAGTGTTCTCATCGCGAAGCAACGGGCCCAATGCAGTGCGACCTGAAACACCATTTTTCCATTCCTTCTCAAATCTCCGATATTTTATGAACACTGGAAATGTCTTAATAATTTCAGCAATAACAAATATTAAATCCATCGTTCTTATCAATCTAACATTAACGACGTAATATCTACCTACATTATACCGTGTTACCTTCCAAATGACTGACATTAAATCCTAAAAAGGCACATTCAATCACCCGACGCATCTGAAAAGAGTCAGCTCGGTGGGCGAGAAGAAACTGAAAGCCCATTAAATCGCGAGCTTAACGGCACCCTTAAACGCCCCGAGCATTATAACATTACGCCTCGTTCAATAGAGAGTATCCCCTTCGTCGCCAACAATCCTCCACATATATTTCCGTCTAACCGGCATCTTCACGCCGCGTCATTTACTCGGAGATCCCGAGGAGCGGCAGCCATTCTTATTTCCGCTTCTACGGCTAACTCTTCGCGGAATAGTCTCTTTGCTCTCGGCACGCGGCGCGGGCTAGAAACTTGGAAACCGTCAAAAGCACCGGGGTATGGAGCTCCTCTGAGAGCTTCTTTGAAACTCGTCTGAAAGAAGCCTCCATTGGCGGTCTCTCTGACTGTGTAAATCCGATACGAAGAACCGAGAAGTTGAGGGGAGATAGAGAAAGAGATAGTACCGATTCGGAGGAATTTCCATGGACGAAGGTAAAAGAAAAGGGGAAAGTTTGGCGATGCGGTCAAACCCTGGTTAGGTCCTGAATTTCCTCGATTCCGCTGGACTACTGGCACTCCGCGACAACAGGAAAGGTAAGGTTAAATGACTTCAATTTTGTTGCTGCTTGCAGGGGGTAGCTTGATATTCGACGCGGCTTTGAAACGCCAAACGATCGCATGAATTTGCAAATCGCGCTCGTGTATTCATGGAACTTCCCTACGCTTCTCTTCGCTTGCCATCTCACCGTTCGTGTTCATAACAAATTTGTTTATCCGTATGGTGAAAGAGAGAGAGAAGGGAGACGGAAGATTCTGCCATAATTCTCCTTCATTTTGCATGTTTATTGATGCTAGTAATTATCCTATAAATTATTCAATTAACATACACAGGACAAGACTGTCAAATTACAAAGTAACGAAACATTTTATCTCGAAAATTCCAAAGTCAGAAACCCATTTAATTTTCACCTTCACGAAAATTAAATTTTCACTGTTGCATTAAATCCTTTCATCAAGTTAACAGTATCCCCGAAGCAAGAAGAAGGATTAGATCCTACAGAAGCACTTCCGTCCTCGACAATCTTGACATAAATAAAATCCTCTCACGGAAACCGCGGATATGAATGCAATAACGGGCCAAAATATGCCCCCGGGGGTCGAGTAAAATCTGTCACGACAAATGGCGAGCTTGTTGTAGCAGGGATACGACGAAGGATTCACAGGACGCTTGTAGGTGTTCACGATGCGGGATCACGGGTGAAGTGGTAGCAAAGGGAGGACTTAGGCGCAGACCGTTTAGGTATTTTATAGAAGAGCATACAGGGGAATAAAAGGAGGAGAAGTTATGATGGTTGCAGCCGCGGTAATACACGAGGACCTGGAAGTTTACGAGCCGTAAAAGGGTAGCTCGGTTCTCCTCCTTTACGCGGCCATTCTTCCTGGGCGAGAATAAAAATTCCTACGTCGCCTGCGGGGGTTAAAAGGTGATTCGCGGTCACAATCCTAAGACGATCTAGTGCGACCTACAGGGTATCAGTTCCTTCATTGTTCGCTCGTTCTTGAGTGAACGCCGTGATCATCGCCTCGTGTCGGCCAATAGCTAATTCCCTGTTGGAACGCCGGAAGTTACCGTAAAATGCGTTCGATCGGCGCTGAAATAGCACCATTTGCACGATACTGCGGTAAGGCAAAAAAGATTGCACCGTTGATAGCGTGACTTTGCTATTTCTTGCTCGGTATCACCTTGTGTTAACTTCATCAACTACAGAACAGATATTAACAATTTGGCCAAGGGATGATTAACGATAAAAGAAAATCAATTATATTTAATTGTGAGAATTTATAATAAGCATAGAAAGAAGAATCATATATGTTTTTGAGGTAAAATTGAGTGAAACAGAAGATAGATAGAAATTACTGATTTCTAAGTAGTACGAGTCAATGGATTGTCAGACATATCCCTATAATCAGACATATAAGACTAATACCTGTGTTTTATTCAACATATTATGGTAAAATGAACACATACCGATTGTTAATTATCAAGATAACTTAACTTTTAAATTAAAAATATTATTCCATGTTTTTATCTCATTTTATTACGTAGAATTTTAATTTATCCAGTAATTCATATTACGACAATATTACAACTATTCCAGTAAGACATATTAAAGTCTACAAAAGAATCTGAATTACACACGTGACACGTAGTAGACTACAAATATCATCAGCTAATTCTGCGAAATATACTCTTTTCAAAACAAACAAAAATCTCAACGAAAAGAGAAACATTTCGGGTCACAGGAAAATATGGTGCGCATCTGTGAAAACAACATAAACCTCTCGCACGGGATTATCTTCTGAACGTGATATTCGCGTTTTCAGCGAGCTGCAAGAACGCAACCGCCGAAGTGTTGTGAAATCTCGATGCCGTTACTTTTCATTTTCCGGTAACACCGCGAAATGAGCCGGCGCTATCCCCGAATCTCGCCTGGAGAGCGTTTGCTTAAGGAGGGCATTTATCTCGCGCGCCGCCGCAGGCTACAGTATTACGGAAACGAGGAGAAATTTTCTCACTTTGTTCTTATCTGCAGCGGGTAGCCACCCTTTTAGAGCGACGCGTTATATTTCCGCCCCCCTAAAAACGACCCTGTGAAAAGTTCAACCGACTTTTACCTGGTCCTAGCTACGTCCAAAGTGTCCCAGCAATGAAAAAGTTTTGCCTGCATTGTGCGCATTATTGGGAAGGGATGAAAGAATACGTAAAAGGTGTTCCTTGCAGATTAATAACGAAGCAATATTTTTACTTATTGTAAAATATTACAGATTGAAATTGTTTTAATAACGAAAGAAAATTGGCAATTATCAAATTTTTCCGCAGGAGTACAGTATCAAGCAAAGTAGACTTCACTGGGAAAAATGGTGTTAAGGGGAATAGAGATTCTTGAAATTTTTATTTTGACGATTATTTAGGAAATGCCTGAGGGGAAAGACGGAAGTTGGAGGAAAGAAAGGTCTACGGCGGGGTCCACCAACCCCGGAACTCGATAAAGCCTATGGGAAAGGTCGAGAACCCGGAACCCAAAGAAGCTTAGAAGGGAATTCGGCAATTTGGAAATCGAGGAAGCCTACAAAAATGATCCCCTTTCGAAGAGATAAGAAACCCGTAAATTCGGAAAAGCCTAAGAGTGGAGGAGACTAGGAGGAAGAAATTTTCTACCAGAAATTCCATCTTCGCCCAGAAATGAATGGCCAATGGCTAGTTTCTGCGAAAGCAGACGAAAGGGAAAAGAAAATAATACGCGTGTAACTATTGCGACGATCTTTGTCCTTCGATCGAGCGTAACGAGCGACGGTATTATTGCGTTTTATTGCCTCGTTCTGCATTCTACGGTCTCGCGGAGCCAGACATCGCGTAATGTAGAAATATGAAACTTGTCGGCAGCAGGATATTAGAATGCGCCTCGATCAATGAACGATGCGGAGCGCAGAAAAGGGATTCGCGTTGCAAATTGCGTCCCCATGCTCGGCGAGAAAACGATTCGCAGAATGCTATCATGTCCGACACACGTGACGATCATTTTCCTTGAATATCATAACACCGGAAATTGACAGGGATGAATCGCTGCCCGTGGACATACTATTTTTTAACGATAGATATTTATACTCGAAGAAGAACGTTTTATTTTTAGTATATTAAAGATTGAACATTTCAATTTACTCAATAAAGATATGTTATTATCCATTAATAAAATGTTTTTTTTAATCCTTATCCAATCCTTTGAGCTTTGAACTTTACTACTGATAAATTTGAATTAACAATTATTATAAAATTATTATTTTTTATTATGTATAGCTTATGTAATCTATCAGATGTGCAAATAAATTTTGTGTTTATAACATGACACCTTAATTTTTATTTTAAATTTAAATATCTTCCCGCGCTTCTATGTTTCAAAAGTGGATATTAAATCAATGTCGATTTAATACATATCCACGAATTCCGTGGTTGTTTCTCAGATCACGCGAATTCATTTGTAAAAAGCGGGGAAATATTTTTACACACCGCTATACAAGCATTTCTCGCGAAAGATACGACCGCGTAAAGATTTTATTTATACTCATCTCCATTCAGCCGAACTCAACTTTATTGACCCAGGTATCAAAGTTACGATTGAAAGTTACGACATCGCGTGTAAGAAGAATCACGAGTAGCGGAAGAGGAACTCGTCGAGGAGGAAGTAAAAGCGCATCGTACAGGAAACGAGTAAGGACATCGATTGATCAGGGATGAAGAAAACTATCGGAAGTAAAGGGGTAGAGAAAAGTGAAAGAAGGACAGAACTCACCATCTTTCCTCTGTCTCCTCCAGGGTAAGGTACCGTGAATACTCTCGACATCGGAGATATCGCTTCCGAGCAGCTGTCTGAGCTCCGCATCCGCGCGATCCTCTTTCGTCCTGAATTTACCAACCTGTAACATTCAAAGGAAACATCGAAATCTCATTCACGAAAACAGCGTTGCGTCGCAGAAATGAAAATGCGGACAGGAGGAATATTCATACAACGGTAGGAGAAAAAAAAAGAAATCGATTCTTTTAGTAAAAAGAAAGCAATGCATTTCCCTTCGCTTACCTCTGTGATCATTTTTCCCCTGGTCTTATTTCGTTCACGATGATTCGCTTTTTTCTCCAGCTGCTGTATCACTCGTTCACGGGTCGTCCTATATTCGAGCGCAAATTCGGACACGATCCGACAGAACTCGTTTGGTTTGGTGTCCTGCACCCTGTGCAAAGGGATACCCAACCACAGCACGAACTTATGAAATCGATTTATGATCCGCCTGTGGACGATGCCCAGCACGATTATTCTCTCCGCGCAGTCCGCCAGGAAATCCGACATCCTGGTGCAACAGAAATATTTCATAACATAATTAATGGAATGTATACATTTTCTTTTTCTTAAATAAGTGATGAATAATTTTTTTTAGACAGCTGTCAGATAATAAAAATTATGTAAAAGACACGATTTTGAAAATACGTACTTTCGGTTTATGGATATCTAAATATTTAAGTGATTAATATTTTGACCATAAACTTAAAATTTCATTATCACGCGTGTTCGCTTTCCGCATTCCGTAGCTGAAAACTACCTAACGTAAGAAATTAACGCTTGACGCGCTTCTTATCCGAAGGATCGACCAATCGTTGTTCTGACAGAGATGGCAAAAAAGCAATCACTGATGGCAATTTTTTACACGAAACATTTCCATTACTCTCGAAGAGGAAGCCGACTCAGAGGATCCGCCGAAACGAGTTTCAGGCAAAAACGAATTAACTCGACCGGCATTTAGGACGTCCCGTTACAGTTAATTAACACGGGTGCACCATTAAAACCAGACGTTTCACCGTTAAACAAAATATCACCGCGGTATATCTGCGGGAAATAACAGCGTACATTGACACCGCAGGATATGAAATGTTGCTCGAGTGACAGCTACTTACAGCACTTGCAATTAAGTACGAGATTTGTCTGCCATCACAGACACGGGTATTGTTCTCGGCGAGGGCCAATTGTAAATACTATTAAACGCGAGTACTGGGAACAAAGGATCATTTTGCGACCAGAAAGGGGCAACATCGATAATGATCGAAATAGTTGAAAGAATTTTTATTTCATCGTGTTCTCTTAGAAATTGAAAATTTACAGGGGCATTATTTAATTTCTTTATAGGTAATAGGTAGAGAAAGAGATGGTATGATAAAGTTTTATTTCTTTGTTTTCTGATCCCAGATGACAGACGACCTCGTTAGTTTATTTACATTTCAAACAAACTTCAAAATAATTTAAATTGAGACCCTTAAAACTAAAGAGGTGCGAGTGATATTATTTATTTCTTTATTTACGACATTATATTTAACGATTATGAATCAGATTTTTATGAATCGATAGTTATCGTTAGAAAACTGAAGAAAAAAGGGGCACTTATGTCACTGGAACAAGTTCCAATACCTTGTAATAAGGTTTCAAATACCGATACCACTTTTTCTACGCCCGTATAGGCTGTGATCTCGTTCCACAGCCATCTGTGTTCGTTTCCCGAGAGAAAAAAAAAATAAAAATAAAAAGTTAAACAAAGAAGAAAAAACGAGGAGAAGATTATCCGATATAGCTGAGTCAGATAAGGGCAAGTTCAAGGGACGGGGGATGAACGGATAAAAGCTTCGAAGATCCGCCGCGAAGCTCAAAGTAGAAAAGGGATAAGGTGAAATAAAATAAAAGTAGAAAAAAGGTAGAAGCGGACGAGCAGCGAGGAAGGAAGAAATACGCTTTCAGTAATTAATGGCGGTGCCATTTGGAGCTGTGCCAGTTTCCTTGCTGGAAAAAGGTCTGTCGCGAGTTTATCGAACATCGGTTAGATCTTCGGAAATTTTCGCGATCGAAAGTTGCGCTAGAGAAACTTTCTTTCTATTGTCTAACCGATGAGAATCGCGGTTTCTTGGCGCGAAAAATAGGATACAGAGCGTGATACTCACTTGACTTTCATCATCGTGGACCCGTCGTGTTTCGCGATGAGCTTTAGGTGATCCCAGGATGCCTTGCACTCGCTTTCCAGTTTACTTATGTTGGACGCGAGCTCGTCGAAATCAATCTTCGAGGCTCTTGTCACAGCGCCGATCTAAACATATAATTTCCATCGATCGTGGTTACAGGAAAATTAATTTAATCACCGAGTTGATCGAAAGGATTATCAAAAGTTTTGGCGTTGATTAATTTCTAACCGAGGGAAGCAATTTTAATAATAAAAGTGCATTGAATACCATTATGAATTTTGTTAAAAAATTAAATGTTTATAAAGAGACCTGCAGCCATGGGCTAGACCTTTTATTTACTATACCAAAAAATGTCATTTACAATAAATTTTAATTTTTGAACCAAATTTATCAATCAAGGGGGCCTTCGAAGATTTCATAGTTTCGGGTCTCAAAAATGTTAATAAACTTTTAACGATGCAATTATGATAATTTGTAAATAATAGTACGATAAATGAAAATGATTTGCATGCAAATTGGCGCAGTATCTAATTACACGAGAACAAGAATTAGCCGCGTGTGGTAGATACAATTTCACGGAATGGTATTCGTAATGGTATCCAAAGAAGTTCTATGGGAGAGGAGAGGTATCTAAGTTCGGTCGCGATTTCGCAAAGGTATCCTCGGTTATACTTGTGTCGCGAAACTAAAGTTTTATCCACTTTGTTCGTGACGAAAGTAAGCTTACTCTCTCGGTTTCTAACTCACCTCCGAATAGAGATCCGTGGAATCCGGAAACTTTTCCATCACCATGTGGCAAAGGTGATGAAGCAATGAGTGCTTGTGAACCGTATCCTTCACTTCAGGTACTTTGGCGAGGTATTCCAGCTGAAAGCCCTTCACCTGAAAAAGGCACGGCGACGTTTCAGCAATGCTCGGAATATCGTACCGGCTAACTTCTACGTTTTACCTCTCTACTCGACGCTTCTGACCACTTTACTCTCTAACGTAATTGTCGTGAAAACCTGGAATCGATGTCGTTGCTTTTCCAACCCGACCGGAACTGAATTCTCAATTCGCTACGGATTTCCGTTCGAACATTCTACGGTGTTTCCATTAGGTAATCCGGCAAATAATGTTAATCGTCTTAAGATAACCGAAATTCGGTTTTAGAAGATCACGACGATACGGACAAAGTGTCTACAGATATTGGAGCCTACAGTGAGCTCATAAAGCAGGATTCTAGAGTGAGGTAAAAAGCGCTAATAAGGTGTCGCGGAAACGGCAAAGGAAAAAAAAAGAATCTAAAATTCAAAGCGTAAAGCTGTATCCGTTGGCTTTACGAGTTTACCGTTCGTGACGGAACATTTAGAAACGACGATCTTCCGCGAATATAAATTCCGCTCTTACCGCCGTTAAAGTCAGATTATTCAAATAGCCGAGGGGCTCCGAACCAGGCGAAATTTAACAATCTGCATAACAAATTTCGTTCGGCTCGTAACTTTTTTTTCCTTCTTCTTCTTGCTCGCTAATTTACTGTGAAACACGAGGAAGGAGAGAGGTTCTCGCAAACGAGCGACAACTTCAATAAACGAGCGAGTCGTGTAAAAGGACGTTGAAGAAATGATAAGAAACGATTAGTACGCCCTCAAAGAACTTTTGTTGTTAACGTATTCGAATGGAAGTGAACGATGATTGATGCAAAAGAACCGTCCTGAGTTGAATCAAGTTCGTGCAGCATCTTGCACGACTATTCATGGGAATACAACGCTTGCGCGTTTTATATCTTGAATTTCAGTGCTGCGAACACGAAAGCGGGTACTGTTCTGGCTTCTGTGGTCAGAAGCGTGATTTTTTTATTTTATATAATTTTATTAGTAAAGAACTTACGATCTTATTTATGTTACTAATAAAAAGGGTTAACGACACTGGCGTAACTGGAACTTTTGTTGCGGTAGGCACGTGGTATATATAGAATTTTGGAATTTTGAAATATCAGAATTTGAGAATTTTAGAATTTCGGAGTTTTAGAATGTTTAAATTTTAGAATTTTGAAATTTAGGAATCTTGGAATTTTGGAAGCTTAGAATCTCCGAATTTTAGAACCTTAAGATTATAAAATTTTAGAATCCTAGAAACTTAGAATCTCAGAATCTTAACACCTTAAAATGGACACCCACCCTGGCCGTTATCTAGTTACGCCAATATCAAAAATATCTTATAAAATGCCTAAAAGCGTATAAAACAATCCACGTATTTTCCCTCAATCTCCAAAATAACAAGCAATTGTAACCGCAAAATCAACGTGAACGAAGGTGCAAAGTACTCAGAACAGCTACGAACACTGGAAACAAAGGAGAACGTGATTGTCCGATGGCTTCTCTGTCCAAAAACGTGGCAACGATCCAGGCAACGTCCAGTACCCATTCGCCACCTTTTTCCGAGCCATCGAGCAATGGTTACACGAAAATTATCGACACTGATGGATATCGATTCAACACGGACCTAACCGTGACGTAGACGGACGAACGGATTAAGCGGATATCATTTGGCTGGCATTCAATACCTACCTCATTTCCGTTGAGGAATATCCCGATCGAAAGGAGCGTGCTCAGAATCCCGCGGAACGTTTTATTCACTCGCAGCGTTTCCATTCCTTGCTTCAGATCCATCAAAGGGTCCGCAATTTCCTAAAGTCACAAAGACGGTTTACAATTATTTTTCTTTTCCATTTCTTTCGCACGCCGCGTTAGCTGCTTCGTGAAATTTTACACTTCTTATGTATTTTGTTACATTCTTCTCTATTTCCCTCGACACGTGATATTTCCGTTTATATAGGAAGCAGAAAAGAAATACATGTACAGTACAAATATGATTTAAAAAAAAATATAATGTATATCAAATGGACACATGTTTGAAAATATTTAATTTATTTTTATAGATTTTCTTAGAATAGGTCATTTTGAAAATAGATCAATTTGTTCCTTTAAAGGCAGAAGAGGCAATAATACATTGCACTCCAATATTTCTAGAGCAAAATGATAGTAATAAAGGGGAGTATATGTAATATAGAAAGTTTGTATGTATAATCATTATTGGTCCTACAGGATACTCCGAAAAATTATACTTAAATAAGTGGTAAAATTTCAAAAAGTGGAAATGATTCAAGATAATCTAAGAAAATTCTTCAACAAAAAATAACGTATAGATAATTAAAATGAAGAAGTTAAATAAACCTTTATAACTTAAAAAGGAGACCACGATTAAGGAAGTATCGAGAATGAAGAAAAATTGCAGATCTCGTGGTCGAGGTGTTTCACACCTTCGAGTTAACCGGCGGTTTTCCAAGGAAGCGATGCACACGTTCGAGGAAGGTTCGCGGCACGACCGTGTATAGAAATCCGGCATGTTCTCAGCGAAGAAATCGCGCGATTATGCGAAGAACGTTACCCGCGACTTCCTTCCCCGCATACCTGGCGTTTTTCCTTGTCGTGGTCGCGACTATCTCCGTGGAATTCAAGACGAGATTCGTGAGAAATAACGGGCCAATTCGATCGCTATTACTCGTATTTGTATTCGAGCGTGCTTAATAGAATTTACATTCGAAATGTCATGCAGCTTCTCACGGTGAAACGTACTTATGCTACAGGTCGTGGTTCGATTCGATGCAACTGCTAATAATTGAACGGCTCTTCCTTCGAATACCTTCATCCGCCTTTATTTATTCATTCGCAATCAGTCTGATGCTGTTTAAGTCAGAGGGTCTTGAATATACAGGCTACTGTGTAATATGTATTACAAGTAGGAAAGTGATGGTTCTATTTAATTCGACATTAGATATTTACTAAGCAATATTAATAAGATGCTTTATATATATTTAGCATTTAGCTGCATATATATTTAGTATTTTACTAAATTAATATTAGAATTAAGATAACAAATATTTACGTCTACTCAGTCATTCATTTAGATAAATATCTGGCAATTAGTATTAATTAAATTTATAAGTAAAATAATTAAAAATCTACTAAAAAAATGTACTACAAGTGCTATTTTACGATAATTTTATGTTACGAAATTGCATTTGGACATGAAATATGTATCAATAAGCAATATTATAATTTTACGAAAGAAGTACTAATAAAAGGAGCTCACCTTTTCCGAATTTTCAAAATCCAGCTTGAACGCCCAGAGCTTCAGCCTGGCTGGTAATTCCGAGATGGATGCCAAAGTTAGAAGAAACTGCTCGGCTGATCCCAAAGGTAGGTCAGGATTGGCGGCCTGCGCTTCTTGTATCCTGGACCTCTCCTCCTCGGTTGGCAGCATTGTCAACAGTTTCTGTCACGAACGGGCCAGGGCAAAGGACAGGGAAGAAGAGAACGAAGAAGAAAAACGAACAAGAATAAAATTAGAGAAATTAGGAAAAATATCGTAAACAGAACGTACATGTGTGTTTTAACTAAAGCATAGGGTCAACTTTGAACCAAGGAACGTAATTTTTTTACGGTCGCAATCTCGACCTGGATTCCAAACGAAATCGGGAATGTGATGAACATTTTGTTTCGGGAATAAATAAAGAAATTCGGAGAAGAATTTTAGAGAGGTATTTCGATTTTACAGAATACGTGTTTGGAATGAAAAATCAATATTTGTACGAATATTATAAATAGCATGCAGAAATTTTTATATAAAAAAAAATTAGATCTAAATTATAAATATAGATTCATTTTAGATTATAAAGTTATTAAGTTCATTTAAAGTCAAAATGAGCCTAAGATAATTAAATTATTTAAATAACAATTTACTTTCTTTATCCTCCTTTTTATTTTCCAATCATTAACATTAGTGTTAATCAAAACGTTACCTAATTATGGTAATATAAAATAAAATTGTTATTTAATTAATTAACATCTAATCAAAAAACCGAAAAGACACTTAATTATGAATAATTAAAATTATTTTATGATTAGTAATATTGATTTGCGTAGAGTTTTAATGGTTGTAACTATTAATTAATATCGCTGAATAAATAAAATAAAAAATAATTAGTGTTCTCACCTCAATACCTTCCCTGTTCATGATGGTTGCGTCCATTTTCAAGATCGCGGTCTTAATTGATCTTGGCGGAGGCAGTTTCGTCATTCCGATATTGATAGCGTTCGATCGCTTATGATCCAATACGATGATCTCTTTGTTCTTGTTCATCTCCTGCTGCTTCTATTCGATGATAAAAAGAAGGCAAATGTGTATAATCGTTGACCAAACAATTCACCGCGAAGATAATAAAAAAATATTACATGTTTCATCATTTATCTTAACACTCCAAATCGTGAAGTTGATTAATAACGAACACATCGTGCACTGAGTGTGACTTTCAAACATGTATAACCATTGAAATTCTATGATATTAACACCCAAGTGCAGGTCAAATATTTGCACTTCGACGGGAAACGGAAATGCTAATGTATCAGTATTATCTACAAATCAACCGACACAAGAAATATCCTGTATTTATTAATAGCGAAATTGATAGAAACGAGTTACAAGCGAACGATTCACAAGGATGATTATTATTATAATATTATGGCTAATTAGAATTGAAAGTACACAAAATCAGAAAAGGTAGAGATAAATTCAAGAAAATATTAACCCTTGCAGTACCAAAGAGAGTGAAGCACATAGAATGAAAAGAATGCAAATGACATTTTTTGAATTTTTTAAATTAAGAACAGAAATAGTTACAATCTTGTAAATAAAAATGTCACTTGCATCCCTTTGGTTCCCATATCAGTTTTGAGGCACTGAAAAATTTTAATTCATGCATACTGCAAAACTATTAATTTCAATTTGCAAATAATATCTAACAATAAAGGTAACATTGAAATTAATTTTATTTCAATTATAGAACAAGAATCAACTAATCAGCATTCTCCATTTACTAATGCGAAGCATAAAAAGACAAAAGGGATACAAAAGCAGAAGCAAAGTTAAACACCGTTGTTAAGTGAAGTTAAGAAATTAGGACTCACCTCCTGTAAAATTCCAGCATGCCATTTCGTTCATTTTTCGTGCGAGCACCAAGAATATTGCAAATAATACAAGAAAATATTAGTCGTATTGCATTAAACCACCATCACCACCACCCCAACCACTATCCGCGGTATTATTATTATTATTATTATGATTATGATTATGATTATTATTGTTGTTGTTCGCGATTATTATCATGGGATATCGTTACTGTTGCGACAGTATTAATATACGACGTGTTATTGTTAAAGTTACTTCATTAAACTAACAGAGCCCGTAATAATATACCAAGATTGTAGTTGTTTTGTGCACATGATCGTCTCGTGAAATTATTATCAACATGCGCAAGTTTAAGGTAATAATAATCAATGGGGATAAATTGTAATATGAATATTCCACCTATTCCTGACTGAAAGTGTTTTATTTTGAATTATAATAACGATATTAAATTTATGATTTAATTATCAGAAAGTAGAAGTCAATTTGTACATTCATTGACTTTTTGAAGATAAAAATTTTTTTTTAGTTCATTTTCCATAAAATTTTGATAACTTATAATAGCACTAGAAATTTGATTATTGTAAAAATAATCAGTAACAAATTAATGAATCATTATTTCTATTTTAAATATCTTATTACACATATTAATTATTCTTAGAAAGCAGCAAACTTAAATTCATCGAGCTTTATTAAATCCATACTTAACGCGAAAAAACATTTAACCACATCATAGGGATTTTTTTCCATTCTCCACCCTTCGTTTGATGCTCTTTTTTTCCATAAGTAAACGGGACGGCGGCGTCCCATAATTTTTCCCGATTCGCATCTCCTTTTTAAGCTGTTCTTTTTCTCTACCATAGAAGTCTTGCTGGACTCTCCACTCAGCACTAATTATCACCGGACTCTGAGGTAAGCGTAAAAGTTCAAAGGATAAAGTATTAGGGTAAAAAGGACCCTTCCTTCGAGCAATTTTACGAAAAGGAAAAAGAAACCGAGAGGAAACACGTATAGAGAGAAAACGTCAGACTTGCTGAGGTTTGCAGAAACGTTCAGTCCATTAATATTCATAAATTTTTGCTAGTAAATTGTCACTTTTCTAACTTCAATATAATAAGAAATTGTAAAGTGGTAGAAAGTTAACTAGGCGAAAATTCTATCATCTCTACATCGCTAGAAAACTTTTCTCCTTTTAACTTCTCATTCTTAACTTGGTAACTGGGGAAGACGAGTTAAATCGACGTTTAGAACGTAATAACGTTAATTCATCGAGAAGATCTGATAATTGAATTACCTTCAAGTTCATTAACGATCGCTTCGTTAGAATTTGTCATGATTAAAATATCCTTCTTCCATTGCACTAATTACAATGTTTCATTACTATAATAATATTTCTGATATTTCTCCTAAGGTATTGGATGTTACTTTGTTAAGAAAATTTTCCATATTTCAACACCGTACTTATTTATCAAACATTACACTCATTCCCATGGACCATAAATGCATAAACATCCTCAATGCGTTCTTTATATTCATCTGCATCAGCATGCATTCAGAGGCATTCTGTTCGCGTAAGAAAAATCTCGCTTTAATATTTGATCGATCCTGGTAGAACGTGGAAAGAGCAAAGCCGATAAAACCGGCACGTAATTACAGGAGCAATTAACGACATGCTGGTCGTTCGTGTGAAATCTTTGAACACGGACCCAGCGGCGATCCCTGAAGAATTTCCAGCGATTTTCACCGGCAGAGGAAAAACGCGTGCTCGACAGAGACGGTCAGACATTATTCGATATCGTCGGCACGGAAGAGGAATTAATGTACGCGCGAGATGACACGCCACTCTGCAACCGGCAAAACGTGATTCTATTTAGGCGATCAACGCGATAGTTCGAAGGAAGAGCGCGTCAGATTTTCACGTCGCGTCGCGACGGGAAAATCGAGCATCCGCCGAAGGAAATTGCACGCGTTTCCCTTTCCGTTTGCCACATTTTTCTATCTCTTCTCTCACGATTTTCTGTTTTTATTTCGTTCACATATTTTCTCCTTCTCGCTGGTCGATTTTTGAACACGTCACGGAAATGATTTAATGGAAGAATCCCAACGGAAATACGTCATGAAATCAAAGGGACAAGAGAAATCTTGTATCTTCTAGTGGTCCTTCATTATACTCGAACGTTCTAAAAATTAAATGAAAACACGATACCGTGGAAAAGCGTGCTCCTGAAACGACTGTCAACAATTTAAAATTCTTTTTGCATAACGTTTTGCAAATAGCGGGGAATAAAAGCAAATATAACGGACAGGTAACAACTAGAAAGCTTTCTCGAAAAATAAATACCGTTATGAATACAAGCAACGATGGAGGGAAAAAGGAAATTTTGCTTGAGAAAAAATAACAGGTCCACTGAATGTCTGTCAGCTTTTAATACACAGAAATCGTTCCACTTGTGCTTCCCTGGAAAGCTCGTCACAATTTTCAAACGATTCAAACGAGTCTCCGTGATTGAGGTGGAAGTTAATGTTTATTCGTGGAAACGCGAGAAAACTTTTCCATGAAACGACAGACGTCTCTTTGCCCAGGGAAAACTCGAGGAAAACTTTTTCCTTCGTCGTGGAGATAAATGCGACTTAAACAATTGAAAATACGAGGAAATTGAATTGTTATTTTTCTTTCGACCAATCAACGTTAAATTATCAAACACGTTATGAATAAGTAATAATTTCGTTGAAATATTAGCAACTTCAATTATTCAATTAACCAAAAATTGGGGCGCGTGTCACCGGTAATCATCACGCCAGTCAACACGTTGCATATTTTACAGAAATTAAAAATTAAAAAATTCAGCAAAAATAAGAAAGCATCAATTTTTATTATTTTTGTGCATAATATATGATCAGTGAACATTTTAAAGCATCTGGAACCTGGAAATTGCTTCGAACGCCAGTCAATGACGGTCCTGAGATTTTATTTAAAATAAAAAGAAAAAAAATAGGTAACTTGAAAGTCCGTCGAGTCTTTAATTTTTTTCGTTATCGTCGGGACACGTACGGAACAGTATGCGAAAAAAGAGGAGAGCCTGTGTATATTTAATGCAATTTGCAGCACTTCATTCCGGCTGGAACGTTTCTCTAGTGTGTTTAATGCTCGACTCCGTGGCTAGTATCCTTTATTTAAAAATATCTCGGCAGAAACCGTCGAGAGAAAATTCTTGACTCTGCTTAACGAGACAATAATTACTGACACGAGAACCGTAAATGGTCGCCAGCAATTGGATAACGAACTGGCTGAAATTTTTGCTCAATGCTTGCTTATTAAAATTTGCAGTTAATATAACACAAACATTACTTATTCATCATTGAAAAGGCACTATGCCCTGCTCCATTTCAATGCTAAATAAAAACACCAACTCTGCATATGAATATACAAATTTTCCAATTAATAATAGATTTTCAAACATGTATATGCATAGGCTCTCGGATACGTTTTATTGTTTTATTAATTGTAATCCTAAAGGCAGATATACGGGTGACGTCTGATAAAAATTTCAATTGCCAGCAGTGTTTCTGCCAATAATAATTGTAAAAGTAACAATATATAATAATAAAAATTGATATTATTTTATCAATTTTTTGTGCCTGAAGGCATTATTTAGTCCAGATTTATTATTTGTGTATCTCTTAAATAAAAATCGAAATTAAGAAGCAGTTTCCATTCTTAAAATATATTTGAATCTCATCTTTATGAAAAACGTGCTGACTAAATTTGAAATTCGTCTCTTGAAAATAGCGATCCACTTTTCGAAGAGCTGATCCGCGTTAAGCATACTTAACCACCGAGCAGGTTAACCAGCCACGTAGCTCTGTGTATTTTGGATCGTGGTTACGAAGGCTGCGGAATTTCCGCGCGATTGAAAGCTTCTCGCTTCGGGACGAGCGAACAGTAAGGAGCACGCTCGACAAATCGATGATCACGGAATGATTAACGTCTACGCCGCCGTTTGAATACGATCGAAGTGGTTCAAGGAGAACACCACGAAACGAAGAAACTGGAAAATTTCCTCTCTGAACTAGGACACGCCGGAATTTTAAAAAACCACGAACTACGAAAGATGTGTGGATTTTCGTTAAAGAAAGGTAACGAAATATAAACTGTTACCTGTATTGTTCTCTTGAAAGCATGGTTAAAAATGGTAACTGTACTTTTTGTTTCTGAAGAGGAAATTTGAAACCCGGTTTCAGCTGTGAATAGATGAAGAATTCAGAGGTTTAACTCTTTTCTCACTACAGAAGAACAAAATGAAATTGTCGAGAGATAAGACTCGCTATGAAAGGTCCTCGAATAATTTGAAGATAACAAAAACTTAAACCAATTTAAAATGTTAAATAAGAATTAGTTAATTAATTATTCGATGCCTGCCACTAGGAGTATTGGGGTATACTGATCTTCGGCATAACTCACGTCCCGGCGATGGACCCTGGATGGGGAGATGCGGGCAACCAAACTTCGGACCGGCGAAGCCCCCTGGTCGGTTCGCAACTCCCGTGGGGACACGGGGGAGCCTCCTTCCAGAGGACTCGTGTTAGTTACATCTACCTCCTTTTCCCTACAGACCTCCGATTAAGGATTGGATGCATTTTTCTACACCTAACTAACCTTATTCCAGAACCACAATTCTAATTTACACATACGACTTGAGAGTCCACGAGACGTCCATAAAGTACCCCATTATTCATTTACACGTGTTACCGACGCGCACAGAAATGACAATTGGAAGATAACATCTAATCCCAGAGAAGAACGTTGAAGCGTAACAAGAAGAAGAGCTCACCTTCGTGATGAGATCCTTGGCACGGCTCTCGAACAAGTGCTCGAGCTTCTGCGTGTCAACAGGTACCGGCGACAGTTCGTCCCATATCATCTTGTTCTTGTCGAGTCTTGACAGTATGATAGGATCATCCCTGACCTCTTTCCAGAATAATTTCACCGTCTTCTTGCTCTTCTTCGTAAAGGTTGGCGGTGGACTCTTTGGCGAGTTGCTGCTATCGGTCGCGGTCGATGGCCTCGTTGACTTAAGGCCAATGCTGAACAAAGGTGGAGGTGCCTGAGGTATAGGCGGTGGCAATCTTGCACCGAGTGGCGGAGGTGGTGGAGCTCGCATACCACCTGGCGAAGGTACCATGGGCGGTGGAGGCGGTGGTATACCGTTGGTCACGTTTACCGGACCAAGAACATCGACTTCGTCGTCAGAGTTCAGATCGGTGAAATCCAGATCGCAGAGTGCGAGAGGTCTCTTCAGCTTCTTAACCAACTCCTCCCAGTGCAATTCGTTCTCTGATTTCTTCGTTTCCTGAAGCTTAGGCAGATTGTCGCCGGTGGGTGACTTCAGCACATCCGCTTTTGACTTCGATTTTGCCAAACCCTCCTTAGCTTTTGAGATCAGACCGCTCATATCCCCTATCCTGGAAGTTAAGACAGAAGAAATTAATAATTTTCCTCGAAATTCGTCGATAAAGGGTTGAAGTTAAACATCGAAAATTTGGAAATCTATCTTCTATTCTTGAAGAAGTTGATGAAGTTATTTGTAAATTCAAAGCTCGAGGGTTTAAACCTTCAGGATTAAAAGCTTGAAATCTGAAGTACTTAAACTTTGAAGCTCTATTATTAAATATTCAAAAATTTATGTATTCTAAGGTGGAACAGATAGTTAATATATTTTTTTTCTCAATTCTTTCTTTAAAGGGTTTGATTGTTTGCCAATGTGTACTGTGATCAAATTACCTGGAAACCTTCTCTTCAACCGGACTGCTCGGTATAAGATTTTGAGCGGCCAGCTTTTGTGTGAGATCCTTGACGGTTCCTTCCCTCTTCAACTGTAGAACCACTCGACGATCCTCATCATCGTCGGTGTGATTACCCTCGTCGCACTCGACACCCTCGTCCGGGCTCTTGCCGTACCACGGTTTCTTCTCTTCCGAGTCAAGCTTGTTCGCGGCATTCATCAAGGGTGTTAAATCCTTTCTACTGTTCGTCCTGGACAACTTATTCGATGGCGAATCCGCGTTTCTTTCATAGGATGTACCATTTGTGTACCGTAATCCGTTCGTTGGGTAGGGACCTTCACAGCATCGACAGAAAATCAATCAATTCATTAATTCGCTGATCTATTATTATTAACTTGTTACATAACATTTGATAGATTTCGCTATCGGCAATTTAACGCCCCCGTTAAAAGGTTAAAAATGCAAACAGAAACCTTCTGCTCCAGGAACAAGTATGGAAACTTCAAATAACCTAGGGAAACTGTACCGAAACGCCTTTCAAAGTTTCTAGGAGTTACTTGAATGAAAACAAAAGTTTCAGGAGAATCGAAACCAGACAAGGATTCTAACATTATAATAAAAAGTTGTAAATTCTGAAAAATCTTGATTTACAGTTAAGGTATTGAATCATATCCTAAGAATTGAATAGTAGATTTAAAAAAAGGTGCAATTACTAACTTTCTTGATCGTCCGATGGAACCACCGACGCCCTCATGTTCGCGGTAGCCTCTTGTTGCTCCCTGATAAAGCTTCTCTGTCTCTCGGCTCGTTCTCTCCGACGTCTTAACGCCGGTGTCACGCCAACGTCCACTGAAAGGCGCGATAAATCAATCGTTTCCTGAACTGCTCACTACTGCCAATACACGCGTGCCCGATCATTTTCCTCGTCCAACTATAATTCACTATTTACCGAACAACCGACATCGACGGCTTATCGTTCGATCGTTTTCATTCGCATCGAATCACGGGACGGTCGAACTTTCGTTTTGATTTATCGCCCGCGATACAGATCTGTACACGCGACGACGACAGTACCAATAAATTCAGCTCGTTACGCGTTGTCGTTCCTTCGCGTTTCAAACTTGCGATTAAATTCACGCGGTGTATCGGAATATGCATCGAAACCAGCCACCTCACGATGCACCTTGCGTCATCCGAATGCAAGGAATTTTTCACGATTCTAAACCGTCGCAATGTTATTTCAAAAGATGCATTTCCGTCGAGCCGCGTACACTTAGACGCACTTGACCCTGCCGAAGCGCGGAACGAAACTAGCCGTTTTCCGCGACGGGATAAACGTTCTCAATCACGGCCCCCTACGAATGAAACTGCGCTTTTCGCCCCGTCTCTGGCTCGTTGCATCCGCAGCGAAACGCACGGGGGGACTGAAAACCGCAAGGTCTCTCTGCCGAGAGAGGGACGATACGTTAACGCGGAAATCGCCGCTCGTGGGCGTCGAAGTTCGTATTCATTGCGCGGTCGATTCATTAACGAGCAGATTCGCAGCGAGAATTCATGATCGTCGCGGCGTACGAAAGTGAAAATTTCCTTCGCCGTACGACGAAGAGAAAGAAAAACAAACGGTCTCTCTCTCTCACCTTTGTTCTCTTTGTAGCTGCCGTTCAGCTGAACCTCGCCGAGATGACCCTGCGAACTTTGAGAGCTACTCGACTCGTCGTCGTCGTCGGGCAAACTCGAGTTCAGGGTGCTGTTCAGCGAGCTTAGACCCAACGAGTGGTTGAGCCGTGGACTTAACCGGGCGTTCAAGGACATCGACAACGGAGACGTGCCCGTCGAGTGTCTGCGGGATTTTCGACGCTCGTGAGAATCCACCAGGGACTTCCGATTTCGCAGCGTCTTCCTGCGGGACAGAGAGAAACTTTTCCTATAGTTTGCTCTATTTAGGATTTTGATATCTTGCTCTTATATACGGGAATAATAGTAAATAATAATATAATTATAAATCTTATTTAGAATTTTTGTTTCTTTCGATTATCTCATTATATTTAATTTGTAATGACGGTCATTGGTTACCCACGGGATATCCAACGTGTTTAATTTTCTTGCTTTTAATCCTCGCACAACGGATGCTCTCGAGACCATTTTGACCCTCGAATGAATCGTCATTATGTGCAGTATCGAAGGTTGAATTATGTGTAATATTTTAAATGTACTGTCCAACGTGTGACAAAGAGAAAGACAAAATAAATATACTTGGAATAAGGAATAATTTTATTTTTTCCATGATTTTCCCCAGTAAATCATCTACATTATGTTAATTTTATTTCTGTTGCTGGGTCAGAATGGTCCTGCAGTCACTGTTCAAGGAGTAATCTAAGATTTGCTACGGAAACTGTTAGGGTCTGACTAATCGCGCGGATATACTACTGAATCAGCAAGTTCGACTACTGGCGACCACCGTAAGCCCATAAAATCGCTATATTCTTTTTGTGGGAAGCATTTTTGTTAGAGAAAAACAACCCTAATTAGAAATTTTCAAATTTAGAAGGATAAATATATAATAGTTTGCCAAAACTCTAAGACCTTTTTTTCCAAATTTCATTTGCATGCACCATATGATAATTAATTCATATAAAAATTCCCTGTTATGAAATCAGGGCTATAACGTATGCCTCGAAACTTCTTATGTGAAATATCAAATGCATCGAGCATAGGGAGATTGAAAAACTTGAACGGACATAAATAAAAACGTTAAAAGTAAAAATCGATACCTGATGTTATCATCGAGCTGTCGAATGGGCGATCCCCTATCGTTCCCGTCTTCGTGATGCAGCACGGCCTCGTAAATTTGAAACTGTCTGAGGAGATCCAGGTCGGTGCCCTGCTTCGACATGTACCTTTGGATGATTCCCTCGATTCCTTGCTCCTCCAAACAGTCCACTTGGTCGTAATAAGTGTCCTGGTCCGGTATACCATTCAAACACTTGTTGACCAAAGTCGTGGCATAAATCAGCAGCTCCGTGTCAGCGGCATCGTAATCCTTCAGCAGCTTCATCACGTTCGTCCACGGTATCATGCCCCTGGACGTATCCACGGATCTCACGGCCCTGACCAACAGCAAACTGTTCGTCTCCACGTACTCGACGAACACCAATAGCAACTTCAACGCGGTCTTCACCACCAAACGAAAGCGGCTTGCTATCAATGTGTACAACCACTGGACGGTCTGACCATGTTCCATCACCCCATTCATACCATCCACGTAGAGCATCACCTGACCGAGAGCTGTTAGAACAGAAATAAAAGATTTTTGTGAATTTTACTTTTTAAAGAGGTGTGCTATTTTTTTCCTGAAGCTGATTATTCGCTACTAAAGGCGATTACAGTCACTATATGAAAAGACGTAAAGTAACTCTGTTAAAAAAAATATATGTTTCTTTACTTGCATTGGCGAAACAACGTCAGCAAAAAAGTTTTAAGCCAGCTTTCAATGAAAACTGCTTTATCGACGAGAAGGGTTGTTTGCCACGATTACCCCTGCCGTCGCTTCCCTACGCTCGTTGGAGAGCTGGTTAACTCCCATATGCCGGTTGCACACCAAGCAAATTATAACTTTTGACACGGCGGTATAACGTTCCTTGTGTACGAGTTGATAATCTGTTCGCGAGTAGTTATTGTTGCGTAACTTATCGGATTTTCTGCACCAAAGTGCTATTCCCTTTTACGATCCGCTCGCTGAGATCGGTTATTCAACAAAAGAAGCCCGAATAGCAGCAAAGAGAATTGTGAAACTAACGTTCCATTTTGAAATAGAGGGATTCTCTCTGATTCTGGAAAATTTTCTACTTCCTTTTCACTTGAGCTTTGCTTGCCTCAGCGATTTTGCGATTGAAACTCCTAGTTACATGTTAGCGCTTTAGTGGATTTTCAACGTCAAATTTAGAAAATGAAAATTGGAACGAATTTAAATTATAAATTATATTATTAATATTATTTGAAACTCGTGCTTCTGTAACCGCGTTACAACAGCGTAGAAAAATATTAACTACGTGAAATTGGTACGGTCGAAAAGTGGAAGTTCCTGGATCACTAAATTCGATGGTATCGATGCTTAAATGGAGGGGTTTCGATATCGGTGACTTCCAAGTTGTGGGGCTCGATACGAACAAACTTGCCCGGTAAGACCCAATAACGATGATAGCGAGATCCTGTACGGGTCTAGGATCGTTATTGAGACTCGTAATTTGCGACCAACCAATACCAACTTCAAAAACTTCAAGGTGTTTCGTATCGAATCGTGTACGTTCTCTTGTTTTCTATATCAGATCTTACGGCTCGAGTGCTATCAATATCTGATCTTACGAGTGTAACATCGTTGGTGTGAATTCCCATTGATTCTACAGGGTGGACTACGATAATGGAACAAATTACTTGGCTAATTTTAAGTCTGATATGGTTTGATGACATAAAAGTAATGCAAAATTGCGCTTGTGATATATCAATTTAAAGCTGAAAATTTAGAGAAAATTACTATATATATGCACCTTCAATTAAGAATATTAATATGAAATGGTTATCAATTATAGCAAACAATGGCCATCATATGGTATTAAGTTGTTGTATAAACAATCTCATGCAATTTTATGACATAAAAGTATCATGAAATGGCACTTATGATACAGTAATTTTGAGCTTATGGTTTCAGGAAAATTACTATTCAAATGCCTCATTAATACTCTTAATACAAAATGGCTGATCCTTTGTTGAAAGATGCAATTACTTTACAATTCATTGTTATACTTGAAAGCAACGTCGTGATATAAAATTATTACAAATTATTACAGAAATAAATATGAATTGATACGTGAAAGTAGGAGTTTCTATGTAACTATGAAACAGGTTCAGGTATTTGAAGTAATTTATTGAAAACAGAGTTGCAATCTGGTTGTTCTATTAGTCGCAGCTATCGATGCTGAATATCTATTCGAAACGCATAGGCGAGCTGTTTCCATAAAATACCACGCTCGATTCTGCCACAGATATTTTATATTCCCATGTATCGAATTAGATATCGACGTTTGTGTAATAAAATTGTGCAGCTGTGTACCTCGAATCGTGCATAATAATGATTGGAAAAATTCCGATCCTAAATTTCAGATCATTTTAAATTAACTATTCGACACATAGCACTTTGTTTAGAACAATACTACAGTGACGCAATCATAATTGTCCAACAGAGAGTTTAAACAAACTTTTTTAAAACCTTAGTAGCATCGCAATAATATTAAGTCCAACTTTACATTTTCTGAAATTTTCAAAAATATTAGAATAGAAAAGGTTTTGAATTTTTTAATAAGGGTACCAACTGACCCTTTTGCCCTTTTTCCCAAAAAGTATATTGCAACATTATTCCTTTCTTTAATATAAAAGTACGTAACGAAAATTAAATGTAACTGCAAATTATGAAATTTTGTAATTATGTAATTTTGAACTCCATTAAGGGTAAATGAGGTATGAAGTATGTGATGATAAGTTCATTGCAATCAACGTTCAGCCGAAGCAAATTTTGTTTTATGTTTGAGCCAGGTGCCAAGCTTCATAGAATTCAGCATAAATTTCAGGAATCTATGGAAAATAGAGCACGCTTACAATCATACGGGATATTTCGTGACACGCGAACGAACGCGTTTGCCGATGCAAATGGGTTAAATCAGCGAAAACGCGTTACAGAATTGCAGGATAATGGAACTATTGTGTCGATCGAATGAAACTTTTTTTCTCGGTGGAAAGATCAGTCAGTTGGAAATTTCCGTTTAATCGATTCTCGGCTGGTAACTCGAACGTGGCACTCATTCTACTTGGACGAGCATCTTTTTCGATCAATTATCGGCTAACTGTGATAATCTCCATCGAAAAGACCTTGATCGATCAATCGTTCAATCTTGTGTTGAAAGGTTATTAGACTGCGAAATCTTATAACATATAAAAATATGCAAAATATATCCAAAACGTGTTCAAAATACAAAATACTGAGAACTATGAAGCTTTGCAAAAGGGAATCGAATTATTTCGTTTCAAGAATTTTCGGGCGTAGAAAATCGCATAATCTCGAATCGGTAAACCCGAACGAAACTTGTAAATTCCAGCGATAAAAAAAAAAAAAAAGAACACGAAACGTGGACAAAATTTAATTCCCACCGTTTTTATTCTCGCTTCCGCGGGAAATCTGCAAATAAAAACGTCGTTGACAAATATCGTTCGCGCGATAAAGCGACGATCGCGGTTATCCAGCCAACTCTCCCGTCGTAACATGCGATTTATTCTGAGCCCTCCAATGAAAAAAAAACCGGCATGCTAATGCAGTAATTATGCTAATAATAAACGTTATACGACACAATGAGTTTAGCACACGCTGTTCTACCCGTTGCGACGTGGTGATTTAACGTACACAACACGACCCACGTAAATTTCAGCAATTTGCATGGCGCTGCGCTATTTTTTCGAACGCGTCCCCGTTGTTGGCATTTATATCGTCGTTTTTTTTAATCCAATTCGTTCGAAAACGTTTACACGCTGCAAAAATAGGACAGGCTAATAGCGACTGGCCGTGTTAATGGATTAAAAGATAACGGTGGCTAATCTATAATGAACGTTTGCGTGCATGGCGTGTTGATTACGAATTAATTACGCACTATATTGGCTTTCAGTTGGAACTTTCATTTGTTTTTCAAGATCTATCCTGGAAACCGGGAAGCCGAAGAAGCCTACGGAGGAAAGCGGGAATCCGGAAATCCGGAGATGCCTGGAAAGGTGGCATCCTTATTTCTCCTAGGAAAGCCTATTAGAAAAGCCTACTAAAAAATTTCAAGAGATCAGCTGTTAAATGAGAAACACTGGCAGAGGGTAACGTCACGTTTCAAGCACCGATGTCGCAATCGCAGCATCGCTTCATCGGCACAATCGCGAGCGGGTAATGACAATAATTGTCAAGCGATTTAAGCTGGCCGCGGTTGCGATCATTAGCCGGCTCGTTATCGTTACACCGGTCATAAGTTACACCGGGAAATCTAATTAGCAACGTGGTAGCAAGGCGTGGATCGCGCGCAATCATCGACTATCGGGCCGGTTTTAGCATGATATTGTAATCTCCAAACCAGGAGAAGCGTTGAATTCGCCGAGTGGAGTCAGGCGTTTTCCAGGGCGTCGTGCGATCACGGATTAATGCAAGAGCACGGGGAGAAGCAGTCATAATTTTCCACCTGAAAAATCCACCGACAGGCTCGCGACGTTGCGGCAAGCGCTCTCGTGTTACCTTGTCTTTTTTCCCTCCCTCGTCGGTGGAAAAAAAAAGAAAAAACGAACGAGCTGAGAAAAAAAGCTGCTGAAGAAGCAGAAGGAGGGAAAAAATAGGTGGAAACTCCGACGACATTGCGTCCAACGGCACGGCGAACGTTTCCCCCAGTGATTTAGAGTCATAATCCGAGTGCTCCACCCGGAAACACGGCTCCTACGACCTCGGTTGCGAATGCGCGAATCTACACGAATCGGACAGAAGATCGATGAAATCTGGTCTACTGTGATAAAATATAATAAATTTCCGGGTAACACTGGGGATATGTTCCGAGTGACATCAATTTGACTTTCATCAGCACCTTGGATTTTACAGAGTGTAAGGGTACGAATAATAGAGAATTGGACAGAAGGTGGAAATACATTTAAAATATAGAATGTAATTTCCTCGTGAAAAGTTTCATTTTCATAGGGCTAGTTCATGAACCATCCATTGGAGTAATTTGGACCTTTTCCTGCCGTGAGTTTAGTCCCAGAGAAATTAAAAAAATTTTGACATTTTTAGGATTTGGAATTTAGAGAGTTTGAAATTTTTTAATTTTTGTACTTTGGAATTTTGGTAATCTGGAATTGTGGAATTGTAGAATTCTGAACAGTAGAAAATTTGAAATTTGGAAATTTTTAAATCCTAAGATTTGTAAATGGTGAAGGTCCATATTTTTAAAGAGGGACCAGTACAGATTTTTAGTAGGACCAAGTCCACCTTTGCCTCTACCTAATTACGCCAATGGATGGAGCACTCTGTATAAATTATGTGAGAATACGTGTAAAATACAGTTGGATTTATTACAAAAGAAATTCTGGAACTGTACATTTTTCGCCATAAAGTATAGAAGAGTTCATTATGAACTAAAATTAAGTTACTTAAAATTTCAAATTAATCAACTTCGTTATACAGCAGCCTATGCAAATATTTATGATACCATTATACACGTAAATGAACTTTCGCAAGATAAAGTTAACTAATTGAAAAGAAAATGTAACGCGGTATTGTATTCATAATGTTATTTCTATTTTCATCTATCTTTTCTAAATTACAATTTTCATTGCACTTCATTTTCACACCTCCTTATATTCCAAATCAATTATTTACTTCTGTTTGAAACGATAGCAACAGTATATTTGATGCAAATTCGAGAATATCCTTGAGGTTACGTACCATTTCTATTACCTTCAGGTTCTCGAACCGAGAACTATTTCGCGAACTCTTGGCACGGTCCAGCCAGGTGACATAATAATTTGGTACGAGTTATGTTTCTCGGGGGAGACATTCATTTTGGTGTCAAGTTCGTTTCAAAAGCGTTCTTGTATATTGTTCTTACGTGTATTGCCAAAAATTTCTATCTAGTTCGAACAACAGACACGTTTAATCGTCCCAATTTAATCGTACAGCTGTTTTAAATTATAGAATGATTTTGAAATTTAATTGATCTAACCCTTAGCTCTGAATCACGGGGAGTCTACGGGGGGTTGCAATCCCAGGCTTCACTTTCATTTTTCGGAACAATCTTTTTTAAGTTTATTGTTTAACAGTGAAGGTTTTTATAAAATATTGTTAAATCTAAGTAAGTTTAAATTTTAGCAATCATACAATGATGTGTTTTCTATTTTTTTCTAACTGTATCCAAAATTAGAATTAGAAAAAAATGATTAAATTATTGAAAATGAAATTTAATCAAAGCTAATGTATTCCAAGCACTACAATCACATATGTTTATATTTCATCGAATATTTAAAATTAGTTATAATGATTGTTCAATTCAGTTGTACATAACCGACTCCGCGTATAGTAAAATTATAGGCAATGTCTAATCCCAAGTACTATAAATCAAAAAAACGACATTACCTGACTTATTGTTACTTTTTACCAGATACAAGCAAAGATTTAATCTTACGGCAATCAGCTTCTTCTATCCCCGTTGAGTGTAAGCATTTATTAATAGTTTTATGATGGCAATTTACTACCATAGCAGGTACTTGGTTTGCGTGTAGCAACGTAATTATGGTCGCGTCCTCAATTACGTATTTCTTAGCCTAGTTTGTTACCTTTAATACAAAGAAACACTTTTTATCGCTGATTAACATGTTATGCGAAAGAGAAATCAAATTCTAATGACGTTAATATCGTATCAATAAAGTGAGGTAGCTAATTGACAATCTAATCCTTAATTAATTATCCTTTCTAACGATGTATGTACTACGTTCATATTTCAAAACTGAAAATAGGGTAAAAATCTCAAAGCCAATTCTTAGAAAATGGACACTTATCGAAAGGCATACTGAAACTCTAATTATTATATGTAATAAGAATAGTTCATTTTCAATTTCTAATGACAACATTATTCCAAATAATATTTTTCTATTGCTTTCTCTTTCTTTTTTTAAATTATTTCAGTATATCTAATTTGGGGTACTGATTACCTGTAACCCCACAGCATACTATCAGGAGTGAGGTTTAAATGACACGCAATTCTGTTTAATACCGAAAGATTCGCGATTCACCATCGATTTTGTTCCAACTCAAAGAGAAACGTCTTATCAACGTTACCATTGAAACGTTATCCCGTCAAACTGAAACTGTTGGAGCGTCGGCAGTTTAATGAGCCAATAGCGAAGAGTAAAGTCGTAATCAAGCGGTTCTGACAACGCTAAAACCACCGTGTCGGCAACAGTCTGAAGGGTTTCCCAACGATGGATTATAAGGCTGGATGTTCGCCGGGGCTTGCTACTAATAAATTTCCTGTTTACCCGGAGATAAGGAATGCGCAATGAGCTCCCCTTAAATTAGACAGTTAACATTACCCACCCGAGTGGCCTCACCAACCGGCGACACCGTGAAACGCAGCTTGATTTATGCGCAAGATAAACCTAACTGCCAAATTGTTTTATGAATTACCTTATCTGCCACTCCCGACCCTTATCGGAACCGCTTGCTTGCTTGCTTGCCTGCTTGCTTGCTTGCTTGCTCAATATTCGCTTAATCTTAATTGACTCGGTCGGACAACCGTTGAGCTTCTTGTCTGTGCCACTCGATCTTCCGATTTGAAAATGCTCGTAAAAGCACCTCCACGAACCACCACCAGGGATTTAATTCATTTTTGAAAAATAAAACCTCTGGTACACTCAAGACAAGATCAATCGAAAGAATTGATCAAGAGAATTCGTGTTTTACTTCAGATCCTTCGTGAAATTAGTTTTTCGAGCTCCTGTAGAATTGGCTCGGTATACAATGCACTCGAAATCTTGCAAGATCGAAGGACGAGAAATGATTCCGTTCGTTACCGAAGGCGAAAGAGAGCGAGGCAACAGAGAAAGAGGGTCTGGCTTATACAAGTGGGTTGCATTGCAACTAGTCCAAGCAACGAAGAGGGAATTGGTCTTCTTGCGCGTTGTTCGTTCCACGGAGGTTTACAAAGTACTCGAGCAGCAAGCGGCACGGCGAAGCACTCGAAACGCGATCAAAGGGTGCATTCATAATCTGCAACGCGTCGCGGTTTCACCGCAGACCCGCGAGTAACCGCTTACACGCGCAGCCTTTGTAAACAACCAGCTTTCACGTCGCAATTCCGCGCGCCTCCTAAGGAGACGTCTATCTTTCGTCAGACCGAGATCAGTTTCACAAAAAATGTACTGTTACTTTAAACTGGGCTTAAATTTTGCTGAACATCTAACAAGGAATGATCCCGAACCCGGAAATTAAACAAATTATGAAACTTTGTGAATAAGTAGGGGATGTCCTCCTGATTAAAACGCAATTTTCGTTTCCTTGCTAGTTTTCAGTCTAAGAGGGTGGAAATCGCCCCTAAAATTTCAGCTGTTTCTGAATCCGTTGGAGATCTTGAAAAACTTCATTAGCTAAAGTTGTTCGTCCTAAGGTATAGTATTATTTCATACTAAAGAAAGAAATTACTTATTTCAATTTGAAAAAAATGAAACAACTTTTGCTTATGATGTTTTTCGATATTCAACGATTTTGAAGAAAAAGAAAAAAACGGGTAGATTAAGATCCTCTTAGACTGAAAGTGAGCAGCAAACGAAAATTGTGTTTTAATCAGCATCCCCTAAATATTCACAAAGTTTCATAATTTTTTTAATTTCCGGATCATTGAAAATATTAATATAGTAGGACCTTCTGTTACTGCTGCTTGATTTATTTTATCTTATCCTTCCAGCTGAGGATCGATGAAGAGAAAAGGTGGCAAATGGAGATTACTTGCTTTTCTAGTTTCACCCTCAGTTTCGCGGGAGAAGTTGATGCTCCTCTCGTTAGGTGTTAGCTGCATTACGACGCTATTATCTTATTGGTGTTTACGAGGGGGCGTCGCAGACGTACGACGCCCTCGTGTTCATCGAAGAAATCTTCACGCAAGTGCATTCGCGCTATTATGGATCACGTTCTACCCTACGACGCTAATTCCGATAGAATGGAAGTGATACCGGCGTGGATCCGCATTAGCTGGAGTTTGTTTACCGACGAGCTTTTCTTTCCAACGTTTTTCCGAACCACGTCGACGGTTATCGATCGCTTTCAATCGTTTTCGACGCGAAACGTGACGAGCAGCGACGCGATCGCGATTTCGCGAGGGTTTTGAAGATTTTGCAAAGCGACCAATGGTTTGACAGGCTCAACTTTCGAGCTGTCTCGTTTTAACATTATTACTTTTACTGAATAGCATTATTGAAATAGAGGGAGGCATAAAAGTATTTATACATTCTTAACATCTTAGGAAGGATCGATACTGAAACGGTCTTAACTTCAAAACAATATGATAGAAAAATGGTGAAATTAAAAAAAAATTGTTTTAGAAAAATTAATATTATTCTAGAGAGCCATGAGGTGTGTTGTACTTCACCACGCGGTTTTTGTGAAAAGGGATTGCGTCGTAAAAATGATTGAGAAACTCTGTTATAAATTGTATACTTCTTCTACATAGCATTCAGAAGCCTAAGTAACACTGTGCACGAAATACCTTGATCGACAAATTATATCAGGATACTCACCCCGTAATATGTAATTTTGGTAATTCTGGTCGGCCTCGCTGCCAACCTTGATGAGGCAGGCAAGCCCGTCATTTTGCACGAATTCATGCACCAGATCCTTGTCCTCCTGCAAAAGCAAAGTCTATGGTAAGTGGCACTTCAAGTGGTATAAATACACGGTCAGTCCTCGTTTTTTCGAATTTATTCGCTGATAATTTTACATCTTTAAATGTTTTGCAGGTAGATGGAGAAACGTAAAATAGTTCTGAGTATTTTCCATAGTGGTTTGCCTTTGGCAATTAAAGATAAATAGGTAATAAATGGGATAAAGTATAGAAAATTAAGAATTTTCGATGATGATATAAATAATAGGTTCTTTGATTCGAATCATTTTATGTTCGACATAACGTCACTCAATTATCAGATAATACATGGTATCCGATGAAAAGAATCGGTAAAATAAATTAACAATGATGGAAAACCGGTCAATTACCTAGTAATCAATATGATACGCTGTTCAAGTACCAAATAACAAACGATCGGAACATTAAAGATAAAACACCATTCAAATTGCCCAATAATCGACATAATACGCCTCTCAATTACCATGTAATGAACCTCCTCTTTAAAACAGAATACTGTTTCCAATAACCCTTGTTCATCGTATGAAACGGCGATTTCTCATCCACAGACAATTATCGTTCATTTTGGATTCGAACAAAGAATTCTGTCAGATTCTAGTTGAGTTAATGTTAAATCAATAAATGATTAAAATGATGAACGTATGATGAAGAAAATAACTTGATTAAACTTTTGATTAATGAAAGACCTTAACACCTTAAATAAGATGGAGGATACCTAACTATAGGGGTATACCTTTTACAATTGGACCCTCTTTTGCAATAGGAAAGCAGCCAACAATTTAAAAAATATTTAATTTTAAAGCCGACTGTATTTCTTACGAATAATAAACTCAAAACTTTGTCAATGATGCTTGGTGCCTTATTGCAAATAAGGATCCAACAGACCCACTTTCACCTTTCAAGGGTTGAAATCTCAAATGCCTGATTACAGAGCTGATTACGACGATTATCAGAATGTCGTGACGCAAAGGAGCCGATGATAAGAGAAACGGGATGGCAGAGGGTCGCTGATATCCGATCCTAAAGGAGTTCACAAGGCGCACGATTTATCAGCAGCTCTCCAGCTAAGCCCACCATGGCACGGGCCGGAAGAGGTAAATGGAATTAGTTATGGCGCGAAGTCGCGGGCATAATGGAAAATGTAGGAAGTTTGATTAAACCCGCCGCTTTCGAGGAAAGCATCTAACTCGAGGACAGAGTTTCGGGCCCAGTCCCGCGATATCTCGAGGCCCGTTGTTTGCGGCCAGGCCGAGCGACGGAAGTTCGAGTCTCGAACGCGGAACGCAGAGCCGATTAACTCGGCTCCAAGGATTAAGAAACGAAATTAAACGTTGCGGCAGCGATTCAACCGATAAATCCGTCCTGCGAAGAGCAGAGACTCATTTCGAGAACGTGGACAGCCCGGCTAGAGAATCTCCCGCCAGAGGATTGTAATTAATTTCACAGCTAGCCAGCCTGATAATTGAAACGATAAGGTAGAGCTAGGGGGAGGAATTCGAGAATTGTTTATCTGAGTCTTCGTCTTTCAGTCTACCGTATCGAAGGTTTAATTTAAACTGCTATCTATTTATGATCTGTTATCTACTCGTCTACTGTCTGATTAACCCTTTTACTCCGTTGGAAACGCACGCTGGATCACAGGGGTTAAAATTGTTTTTTATTTGCGAACCAGGAGGCATTGGTATAATTATGAAGCGACCAGGGTGGGCCTGGTCCCCATGCTATTTAAAAATTTTAAGGTTCTCCAAAATTCCAAAAATCTAAAATTTCAAATTATAGAATTTTACAATTTCTAAGATACCTGGCCCACTCCAGAAGAATTCTAATTACGCTAATGCCAAAAGATAAAATTGAAATTACGTAAAAGAATTGACAAAAATCTCACCCAGGATGACAGACACTTTAAAGCCAGCTCTAACTCCAGGCTACGTTCAACCGCAGAATAACGAAGCAAACAAATAAACGGTTGACCCAAATAACGATGTAACTACCGTTTCATTTGTTTTTCATTAAATCAGCAAATACGATTCGATTTTGTCTACAAACTAACCCTTAACGTGGCGCTAATGTAACATTCATGTTATCGAAACAAACAGATTGAAAATCAAACGAAAACGCGTGATATTATTCAATATTACCATTATTAAATTTCACTAATATTACCGTTAATGATATACAGTATTATCGATGAAAACGAAACACGTCGCTGACGTAAGAATTATCGTAAATCGTTAATAGAATAAACAGTGTAGCCGCGTGTAAATGAAGAAAAACAAGAAGAATAAAATGCCCGACGAAAATGATCCCCGTTTATCGATAAAACAATCACGGTAGACCGTCGGCTAATAACACGCTTGACGCTGTTTGACGTCCGCTCCATTTATCACGATTCTAATATAATTCAACAATAAACTCATCCATCATTTATGCGGCAAGAACGATAGCTTCCGGTATAATGGAATTTCCTTTAGCTAAAGATTTCTCAACGCTCGTCGAGCAGAACATCGTGGAGGAAAATTTTTCTTCCGACCGGCTAATTGCGAGATCTAATTAAGGGAAACACAATAAAGAAAGCACCAACTCGAATAAACACGCTCCCGCTGCTATTGCTTCGCGAAGAATAGCGAAAGTTGAAACGATTCCAGTTCGTGAAACGTACCAAGTCGATTTTACGTGATTTCTTATACTTTTTCCAGATAATTCATTAGGAACGTAAATATGTCAAACGCTAAGTATAAAATACCCTGAATCGAAGGTAACGAATTTTTCTTTGCAAAAGTTATTCAAAAGATAGAAAATATCGCTAGATGTATACAATTTCGAAACTCAATTCTGTGATTCACTTTTTATATTTGATCACAGGCAAACAAACAAACAAAACTGGCCACACGTTATTTCCTTTACCACTACTATAAAATTACATCTTTCCAGCCAGAACGCATCAGTCAAACGTCCGAATTTCGGTCGAAATATCGAATCCGACGCACGAACGTTTCCAGGGGGTACAAATATTTTTCCATGGATGGAAAAAAAAGCTCCATCACCGGTTGAAACGACGAGTTTCAACACAGCCGCGTATCCCTCCACGATAGCGAAGCGTTGTTAGGTGTATGCGGATATTCGGCTGTCGCGAAGGATGTCACGATGAACATCGTGTTAGAATTCATTGTGCGCGCGAGGAATAACGAATGTGCGAGACAAGGGGCTATCAGACAAGAAGGGTAGAAAAAAAAATGCGCGCGAGAAAGAGAGGGAAAATGTACTCTCTCAAACCGCCATGCAAATATTTACTCGTCGAGCGAGTAGGTTCGCGTAAAAATAACCCCCGTCTGTCTTTTCCTATCTTTTACCTTACTCTTCTTTCTTAAGCTAGCCACCCTCCTTTCTCTTTCTTCCCTTTTCACGATCCTCTGTTGTACCCTTCCTATCTACCTCTCTCTCGCGCCTCTCTCACGGAGCAAATCGCCCCGTCTCGCTTTATAACCGTGTTCGCGTAGCTATCGCGAATTATAAACTCACCTGAAAGATCTGCTTGAGGGAGAACAGAGCCCGTCGCAACTCGCGGCCCTCGCTGTTCAGCAATTTTTCTGCAACAGACAAGCAACACGCAACCATTTATTATAATAATACAGCACGGTCCAGCCGCATTGTTGAGTCTCGAGAGTGATTCTTGGACGAGAGTCGGTCAGCCGGCCTACTCTTTCATTGGGTGAATCTTAATTTCTTTCTTTTTTCATATAAAGATTGGCTTGTTCATGTTGTAAACAACGAGACTATGATTAAGATGGTTTCGTAGGAAACGTTACACGTTAAATACAAATAAGATTGCATTGAATAGCTTTGATAATCAAGATTATCATCGCTTTATTAGTTTCTTGCATATTAAATGAAACAAAGCTGATAAAAGACGTTTGTATTATCTATTAACTTGTTAATTGTGTAAAATGAGACAATATTTAGTTAACCCTTGATTGGTAAAGTAGGGTCTTAAATTAAAATTGAGGCTCTCTCCGTGGGCCACCGTCCAAAATATGATTCTACTGCAATTTGTAGCTACGCACTTTTCTATGATTCTTTTCTTCTGTTTTGTTCTTTCGAATCTTGAAAATAATTCTCTTTTACACGTTTGTTATGGAATCGCGAGGAGAATCGACCAGAATTCCTTGTGTTCTAACGGTGCATCTAAAGTGCAAGCACGTGCAAAAGCGAACAAGCCACCCGGAAGTTCGTTCAGCGTAGGAAGATCAGGAACAGCAAGAGATACTGCCAGTGCTTTTGTTTCCAACGTTAAGCATCGTCGACACGCCGTAGGGTCTCGTTAATTATCAACTTCGTTTCGCGTCCGATTAAATCATCATCTGGCACTCTAAGAATGCTCATTTCATTAAATCGGGCAGTTTCGTATAGAAATTTTGTGCATCAAAAATTCTTGAAAATAAAATTTCAATAGCGGTCCAACACAGATGATGATCTAATTATACCAAGGCTACTCTACTCTGAAATTTTGCAAAAAAAATCTGAGCCGACAATTTCATATCGGAACAATAACCCCAGCCGGCTCATTTTTCCGCGCGGAGATCATTTATAGGGTTTAATTAGGGGGAAACCGGTAATTAAGTCTGCGATTAATTTTACACGACGAATTTTCGTCGCTTCTCATTCAATGTTCGCTCTTTATTCAACCTCTCTCTCTCTCTCGTTTCATTCGCCCTCTCCACTACTGTTTCACTCCGCTTTTGCCCGTTCTATCATTCTTTTTTTCAATCGCGGCTCGACTGTATTACTAATAATTGAATTCCAGTTCACCAGCGGCACACGAAATTCAATTTCCCGAGACTCGATAGTCGCGTCGAGATTTTACAGCCTGCTGGAGATTCGGTGATAAAGAGAGAGAGGAAGAGAGAGGAGGAAGAAAAACGCGAAGAGAAAAACGAAGCAGTGTGTGCAAGAGGAAAATAAGAGAAGGGAGAACGAACGTTGCTCGATGTTCGCTCGGTGAAAAATCGAAAAGTACATTATCGCGGGGAAACTCGAAGAAATACGGAGCGGCGCGGCGTCGTCGAATAAAGAGAAGAAAAGTGAAAACCGTCGGAACCAATTTGACGTTGGAGCACCTTTGCGATACACTGATTGCACGTTTTCAATCGTGCATCTGAATACACGTTGATAATTGCTCCCTAGCTGTATCAATGCCCGAATAATTTCCCTTACAACACGTTGCCCATCTTATTATATTCAACGTAAATGCTACTGTACCGAGGCTACATGGTCATTACAAATTATGGGAACGAAGTGGAATCGTTGTTTGGTGTCGATCAAGAGGCACGAAAATATTACAACGCTTCGATAAATCGCGAAACACGAGGAAACGTATTATTTTGTTAATAATAGTGTTTAACGATCCTGACATTTCGATTTTCATTTGGAACTTGTACATCGTGCCATTTTCGATTAATATTATAATTCATAAGGTTGGTTGAATAGTTCATAAGAAAATATTGCATTTAATTTGTGATACCTTAAATTATTTTTATTAACATTATAGTTATGAAAGGCAATTTTGGTTTAGCAAATATGCTGAATAGAATATTAATAATTAAAATAATAATTTAACAGTACATTTCATCATGAATAAAATTAGAGAAAATGCAAGATATCAAATTGGCAATATAAAAATTGTTTACTTTAAATAAATTTTAAAATTTCTAAAATAAAGGGTTAATAATTTGCTACAATAACAGTGTCTGGGTTTATTTTAAACAGACTGTAAAGGCAGCAACAAGAATTATACGTCGTAACGAAAAATGAAAATAAAGAAACAGGAACGAAGCGAAAAGTAGCTCTTAAAAAGATGAAGAAAACGCGAACCACGAACCTTGCTGTACTTTTATGAAACACGAGACGGTCGTGCAATCGAGCTAATTTCCATACCGGCGACACCACGTAATTCACGAATTCGCAAGGACGAGCGACCCTGTTCAAGGATTTCGACTCTTCGGATTTATCGTCACCGATCATCGATACTTCTTCAAGTACCGTCGATAGAGATCGGTCGTACAACGCGTTACATACACCGGAGATTCCGTCGAATTTTTTTAAACGCATTACGAAATAACGGAACGTCGAGAACCGTCAGGGAACAGGAAGCACTGGCGGATTAATGCGTGAATATCTTGAACGTTGCTGACAAATGTCTTCGATTTGCATATTCAGAGACGAGTGCTCGTTCGAGGAAGTTACGGTGAATATTCCACGAAAATATATGCTTTTTAGGCTCCGCATTGACTTTATACGATAAAATGTAATGTTTTATGCGATACGTAAAAAATAAGGATCGTGTTCATGGATAATGATTACCGTATAAATTGATAAGAATCGTTTGAGACGAGCAAACTAAGCTGTTTGCGATCTAAAGTTTCTAATAAGTAACTCATTTGCTAATGAAGTCAATATTTCTTGAATTTTAACAACACTTATCTTCCAAATGGAATGATTAATTAATTAGATCTACAGGGGTTTCCTGTTTAGTAATTTCTTCATTAACATCATGAATATTCATATCAATTTTATTTCCTCCTTATCAGTTGCATTCATCTCATTCGTCGTCCACTTAGACATCCACATATTTATGAATATATTTTTTATTTTCTTCCTTGATTACATAGTAGCACGATGAGGAAGTTAAGAAGATTAGTTGATTAACTTGATAATTTTCCTGACTACTTTTCGCGGATGAAGTTTTCTACTCTGTTCGCCACGATTAAAAGAGCTCAAGGAAATTTATAATCGTCATTCAAAGTTCTTAATCACTATTATTAACTTATAAATATTGCGCAGCTGCATTTTCTCCCGAGAACTACATTTTATCGAAAACATAAACATTACAATTTACCGGCAAGAACTGGTGAATTATAGTGATAATACCCGCGAGATGCAATTTCCAAGAAAATTCTTGTTCCAATGTTTAAAAAATGCTCTTCGAAGTACAATTTTGCAATTTTTGGCTAAAATTGAAATTTGTATCTTCGAATCTATCTCGTCTAAAAAATAGTAATAACAGAACTTTCTAATTTGACTATGTCTTATCGATTTTCAAAATAAGTTTAAACAAATTTTTTACAGAAATTCAACACCAATTAACGGAACATTTTGCAATTCGACTTGACCAAAAATCACTGGAAGCAAGTCGGTAAAATCAGCTATCGCCGCCAAAGGAATCAGCAACACGACTCTGATTCGTAAGAGAACGTACCGTTGAACGGTGAAAAAATATCGTTTTCATTCATGCGGTCTTATCTGGCCGCGCGTTGTGTTTCTTTCCTCCAGCCACGCCCTTGTTGGTCGTCGAGTCACGGTCTGCGGAGCCCAATTCGCGACTCCTTTCGCGAAAAAGGAAAAGGAGGCCCTTGCGACCGTATAATCGGTTGCTATCACGCGATCTTTAAATGCATTATGCATGCCGCTCGCCGCGCCGCGTCCCAATGGAAAGAGGCAAAGGGTGAAACAGAGACGGATGTACACGAGCACCGGTAATTAGGAATCGTTGTAAGGATCGTATACAGGCTGCCCCATAAAACTGGGTCAAATTGTAATTCTAAAAATATGAAGAAAAATTCCACTTCATATATCCTTCCAACTTATATATATATAGTTTCTTTTAAAAAAGTGTAGATGACTTTAAAATCATGGAAATGCTTCCATTTTCATTTGATATCATCCAATTTTTCATTATTTTATAGATACACAGGTTGACCCAGTTTCATAGAACACACCGTAGAGGTCAACAAGTGAGAATCGAGTGATGTACCTCTGTGCCAAAAGAGCAGAGAGAAAAAGAGAGATGCAGGAGTGAGAGGGTACGGGAAAGAGAAAGAAAGAGAATCGATGATAAGGAAGCGAGCGGTTCGAGAGAGAGGTGGAAGGACCCATCTTCTAAGAATAGCGGTCCCAAGGCCCTGGGGCCCTTGGCCCCTTCGTAATCACTGACCATATAAGCAGAACCCTCTCTCTTTTTCTCCTTCACGACTCGATTCTTCTTCTCTGTTCACGATGTTAAGCAAACTCACCGGTTCGTAACGCCGCTATGCAACTACTCTTGGATCCTTTTTCATTGAGCCTCTACGAGACATCGGTGTGCAATTGCGACACCGAAAATCGAGAAAGCGAAAACGTCCTTCCGAGAGACTTTGGCACGCTCATTAGAGGCCTTTGCAGCTCCCTTACGATATTACTGCATCGCTAATTTCTTCATATTCTTGTACAGAACACCTAACTACTTCTGCCTTATCGTCAGTGTTTCTAACAGTTGGGGAAATAAATATAACTTGGATGAAATCTGGTAATTTCAATAAATGAAATTATGAATATAGTATTGAAGGATAATTATCGTCAAAGCCGACCAATTATCAAGGATTTCGCTAGCAGAATGGTATTTCGAGGAATATTCCATGGAAAAGCGCGAGGTACCGCGTGCGTTTACGCTTGACGTGTTCCTGAGCCGTGGGCACGCTCGTTGCTCGCGTAAACGATCAGTTACCAACTCGGTGATTACGCTGGGCAAGTTTTTAATTGACCAAACGCGCCCATAAAATGAATTAATCGGGCGTTCGGGAGAACTTTAGAAGGCAAACAGCGAGGAAAATGATCGTCAATGAGCAGTACTAGTGAAAGGAAGAATTTCTTCACACATAATGAAATTAATTGAGTATTTTGAACGTTAAAATTCATTAACCATACCGTAAATGACTTTTAGCTTTGACTAGCCATGAAAATATAAAATGAATTTTCGTGTCCTAGTATTAACGAAACAAGGCAAACATGTTGCGATGGTGCATAGTAAAGAAAGAAGAGGAGAACGAGGTCTGACAAATTTATGCAATATTTCCATAATCTTACAAGCTTTCAACGTACGGGGAGACTCGTTTATTCGCGAGGGAAACGTGCAAGATGTAATCTATTTCAAGGCCGAGCATGCTTGTCCATAGTTGCTGAGGGTGCGAGAAATCCGATTCCGCGTGTCGCCTGATGCGTGCGAATTACAAACTCATGCTTACAGTTCGACGTGCAAAAATTTTTCGTTTATTCTGACATTAATTAGCAATCGAAATCAAAGGCATTCAAAATTATTTGTTAAATGCTTTGACATCTATTATTTGATTCTATATTAATCTAGCGTTTCGTATTCTATATTAATGTGGTGATCGATATCTCATTGATTTTTAAAATAATATTACTTTTTTATTCATCATTTCTGGTCGTTTTCATATTTTCTTGTTGCAATGAATTCTTAATGCAATTAAGGATACAAGACAGATTTATATTTATTTCTAATTTGGGGACAAATATTATTGTTGTAAAGTTTTTCTATTATTGTTGATATAGGTATTTATTAGATTAAAAAAATCATAACACTTGTAATTTTTTATTACGATTAAGAATAAAGAAAAATTTCTAATTATTATTTTTTTTAACGATCTTCCACTATACTCCCGTGTAACATTTTCCAGCATACCGACGCTGAGTAAATAATGAAGTGTATTTAGTAATGATTTCATGAAAGAAAATTTCAGCTTCAAATATTTCAAATCATGATTTTGCCAGATACCTTCAAATTCCGTAGTTTGAACAAGCCACAGAGGAAATTTTGTGGCCTTTCATATCGTGCTTACCAGGAATTAATAACGAGCGAATTACTAATAAGAGGATCGAGGATTTTACAAGCGGAACTGGCATCGCTCCAAGGCGAAATTAAAACGGGCAAATCGTTACTCCGCCTGAGCATTTTACTCGTCGATCGGTGTATAACTATTCGATCGTCTTCGACGAATCAAGAGGACAAAAAAACGAGAATGTTTAAATCGTGCAAAGCATTTCTGTCTATCATTTGTACAGAAAAAAGATTTTGTCCTATGATTAGGGAGAAAGTAACGTACCATTAGGGTGCAAAAAGAGTAACGGAATGATAGAAGATTAACTTTTTTGTATGACAAGTGTGGCTAAGAGCTCATGAACGTTCGAATATACCTTCCAGCTATGTAGAAATTTATATCAATGCTACCTACTTATTTTCTTGTACTCCCGACGAAATTAGTGGTTTCGTAATGAGTGGAAACATTATAAGGGTTAAACCCTAAATGTGTTGAATCCGACAATGTGTTCTTCTAATGACTCTACATGGAAAGAGAGAATTCGAATGACATTTAAAATAAAATTTCCAAAAATAATCAACTCGGCACAGGATGACCCATTTCTCAGTAACTTAATTTCAAATTTATAGAATCAATTTTTAATTTCATACATTACAGAAAATAGGTTAATTATCTACGTTAGACATGCACAGCGGTAATCGGTCGTCTCTCTAAAATATAAATGAGAAATATCGGGAATAAGTAAAATAGGGGGATGGAGGTACACGAAGCACCGTTAAAATATGTAAAACGGCACGGTCCACATCTGCTCTGCGTCACTCCCCGCCCTTTTCGTCCCTTTTTTTTTTGTTCGCTTATTCTGAACCTTCGATCATCTCCACCACCTTCACAGGGTTCAACGAACGGCTACGGCCCGCAGGTGAATCCCATGGTTGGCCAGACACACTGATTTCGTGTCGTTCGATCCGCAGCGAACATAACTGTTCACTGTTTGACTTGAAAAATCGATGCGATCAATTTCATTCTGCCCTTTGTCTTTAATTAGTCGAGCAGAACAAGTATGATAATCGAAGACACGAGTGGATAATGGTGTCATGCCATTAATTAGTTATTCGGAGCGAAGTGGACCTGGAGATTTCCAATTAAATTTTTAATTTTTTTAATAAGAAGGAAAGAACTTTTGCCCTTTCTTCAAATTTTCAGAAAATAAAGTTAATATTATCTTTCAAAAGTTCAAAGTTATCAGGATAGAAAAAAATAAAGATATTAAAAAAACACTCGTGGTTTTAATTAACATGTTAAATTTTGTGAGGGTCATCGATGGTGATGTTGAACTTTTAGCTCGAATAAATTAGTACAATAGGAAACATTCGAGAGAATGAAAAATGAAGCATAGAAATATAAATCACGTACCTAATTACCAGAATTACCCTTTAACGAATATCATTTCATGCATCATACTTCTCGCGGTTCCAAACGTTCTCCTCCCCATAATGAACGAGTTGATTCGATTTACAATAAAAAGAAAAATACGAAAGCTGACGAGGACATTCTAGACAACAACTTCATCGCTTTTAATTACTCGTCACCTCCTTAGCTTGTCTGAACACGTATAATTAGAGGTGGCTGGACGACTGATTTCAAACGTAATAACAAGCTGAGCGAATCCCCGCCGCGAAACTCTATCGTACACTTTACAGTGCATGTAATTACGAGCTCGTACAAAATAAAGAATTTCTCGTGAAACCGAAACGCTGCCAACGTTAGTATTTTTCGCGTGTCAACACGCGTAACGTTATAATAAGCATCTGACAAGGGGGATATTTCCATGGCGAATGAACTACACAGAATGATTCCACTAGAAATAAAATTAACAAAAATATGTTTGACTTATCGTTCGACTTAATTTTATATCAAGCATAAAAACTCCTATTCGTGAATGTTTGTACAAACTCCGACTGCACAAGTACTCGCAATAAAATTCGCGCCGGAACTTTTTTATCGGGCATCAGAAGTTTATACGGAACGTATTGGGAAAGCATCCTCTCTCGGTTCGTTAAGAAAAAGTAACGAGGAGAATCGGCCATTGTGCCTGGTATATTTCAAAAGCAAGAATCCGTTTAACCGAATTTCGTGATTACGGTACAGTCGCTTAAGAAACATTTTTAATTAGCCTCATTTGCCAAATCGATTAACCCCATAAAACAAGAAGCACAAAAATTGATAAAATGTAAATAGTTAGATATCAATCGAATACCCTGACAATGAAATTAAGAAAAAAATTTTTAAGTGAAATTAATCATTTTGATCTATGAACTAATAACACAACCTTGGCAAAAATTTGTAACATTTTCAAAATATAAGACACGTCTAAAAATGAGTTATTTTATCAAATTTGAAGCACAAGTAATCACTCGATATTACAAAGTGATGAGTTTAACGAAAGAAGAGTATTGCAAAATGGCAAAAAATTTTCTATCTGAATCAGAATGAAAAGTTTCACGATAGAAAGGCAAAGAAAAAGATCGATAATCGCCTAGATGAAATCATGCTTTTCTCTCGGCGTAACGCGTTACAAATACGAGGATCCATCATTTATTACGTTTTTTCTCATCCCGCCGACTTTCTTACGGCCGTTTGCTGCCGTCTTGCCTGGTTTTTCCCTTAGATTGACAAAATAAAATGTTTCACCGGTTCTCTTTATCGCCTCACGGCGATCAATTTTTTCATCAGCGAGAAAACGCAGAGAAGAGGAAACGTCGACGAGCCCCATTTTCACGGTGATTTTCATGGAAAATCTCGTCGCGTGCCGCGCGATTCAATTTTTCCTCGTAATATTCGGATTTAACGGGGACGACCGCCTCGAGGAGAAGACTCGACGCTTAAAGCGGCGTCTTCAACGTCGACGGTTCGAGGATAATTGCAAAGGACCAGGAAAAAATATCCTCCACCTGGATGCAAGGCAATCTTTCGAGCACGTTGCTTTAATTGCTCGATGAAATTGTTAATTCCGACAAGGTACCAGAACCATTTGACGTAATCGCTTCTCCAATTACGTGGTCGGGCACAATAAGGTGTATTGTTAAGCATTCGTCGACCTTCCACGACCCACTTCCCTTAACCGCACGTAAATTAGAAGAAAAATCTTAATTAGAGCCCGATGTTGTTAGAGATTTACTAGATATTCGTGGAACAATGTTGATTTTCGTGTTTATTGTTAACACGAGCTAGATTGGGTCGTATTATAAGAGAATTTTGACGAAAGATTCTTTTTTTTTTAGTTGCTTCATATTTTGAACAATTGCAGAATCTAACTGTAATATATTATAATTTATACCATCCCTGAAACAGGCCAATTAATTATCTGTTTCAGTTGTTGAAAGTTAACCCTTTGAAGCAGTTCTAAGCTCGATATTATATACACATATTACCTATGCATATTTAACGTAAAATTAAAATATTAATTGAAAATTTTATTTACGTTAAAATTAGAAAGGGTTATTTGCCAAAGGCATATTTGGTAAGGGCTGAAAGAGTTAATACCTTCTTCATATTCACACATCACGACAACCTACGAGACACTTGGAGTCAGCAATGATCAACTCGATACGCATTAAGTGGAGCAAGATTTGACCCAGCGATGCTGGTTAGAGGTCGAGGAATCGGAATCGGCGCGGCTTCGTGAATCGGATGATCCATCCAAGTGGATCGTGGGAGTGTAGCGGCTAGATTCGAATCAAACCTCCTTCGATACTCACCTATGATGGTGTGCACCCTCACGGACAGCTGTGTCCTGAGAACGATCGAGTTCTTTCGGCTGTAACAAAGATAAAAACAGTCAGTCATATGAATTAATAACTCGCAGAATAAGCGATTTATTCGCTTATGTATAAAAGTGGGTCATTCATATTTAGTTGATGTATGAATTTTTTATAAAATCATCATATCCCAGCTTGCCGGCTAGTAATTACCTAATTAGCCATGCGTATACACCGCGATGAAAAGGAATAAGAAAAATGGGTTAGAGTGGCTCCGCTCGGGATCTGCTTGTATCAGCCCGGCTAGTCGCGGCGAACTTTAAGGCCCTGCGAACCTTCCCACGCCATACGTCCCTGAGAAAGCACGGCGACCGTGTGCACAATGGATTTCAAAGTCGGGGGAGAAAGAAAAAATGAGGGGGTGGGAGAGCCAGAAGAAGGCGAAGACGAAGACGAAGACACAGACGGCTTAGGCGAGCGTCAAACGCATCCGGGGCAAAGAAGTCGGCTACGTACGCGCGTTAATAATGTTTCCGCTCGTTAAACGAGCGAGACGTAGCACGATTACGCGTTTTGCTTTTCCCACAAACGAACGCCGCGCCGCGCCGGCCCACCACGCCGTGTGCAAATGTTGCTCGAACAACAACACGCTGCTAGCCATTCCTCAAGATCGATCCCCGATTACACGCGATTGTGCGCCTTCATGAAAATTTCAAGACGCACACGATGAGAAATCGTTTTTCTAACACCGAGCTCGCCACGGTGCAACATTTTCTTATGGACAAGGCGTGAAATTTACTTGAAAGATTGAGATCTAACGAAACGAAGAGCGAAGACAATGCGTTTGCAATGCCTTGTGCACCAATTATCTTTGAATCAGATGGATAGGAAGAAAATAATTTATAGCAGTAAATAATTCATTACAAATTATTGTTTGTTACATGTCATTTATCTTAAACATTTGCAACTATGTACTTTAAGATGATTGGATAAAATACACTGTAATTAATTAATGTGTTACATAATGAAGTTCAACTTTCGTCTCCTTATTACGGTGATGATTATTTAATCAAAAAAAGAATTTATCGTAATTTTTCAATGCATTCACCCTTGTGAGTAAATAATGTGGTATTTAAAAAATTTATTTTCAGTTAAATATTAGGGGTTGTTATCGATCAACCCTTAATGAGAAGAATGCAGTTTGCATTGACGTATTATGATTTTTAAACAATTCACAATTGTAAAAATCTATTAAGATAATGAGGAGACAAATATTGTCTTTCTTCTCAATTTCAAAATATAATATTAATAAATTAATAAATGAAAAACTCGGAATATTAATAGACAGATAGGATCCCTGAATGTAATAAAATTTTAAAATGTGAAGACAATAATATAAATTTTACCATAATTCTCTAAAAAAACGTTAATGGAAAGGAACGCACGTAGAAGATCGATATTTTCAGGCATAAGTACCCGGAGTGTACCAAGAGACCATCAAACTTCCAAACAATTCCACCCTCTTTCGACGTAGCGGTGCTCTTCAAACCGAACTTACCATTTCCACGAGAGATTAAAGACGACTCGTTAATACTCGAATTATCAAGTTTCCTGTCCGCGATTGAAAAATATCACCAAGTTTTAAGCGATCCTGAAATCATCTCGGGGATGCAAACTTTTGATCCTCGTCACTTGCCTCGCGGCTCAGCCGACTATTCCGTAAACAAACGATTTCCATGAAAATCGAGGGAAAAGAAGCCTTAGAACGGGTCGTCGGTTTCGCTTAAGAGAGCTGAAACCCGGCTACCCGAGGTTGCTCGAATAAATTAAAAACTTTCCGGCACGGGGCCAAGTTCAATGTCGACTGACTGCTTCCCGGCGTCCGCTTGCTCGTCTACGTTTCCACGTAAACAGACCATTTCTGTCTTCTTTTCTTCGCATTGTATTCGATCCCCCCCCTGCCTCGTAATTGCCCTGTATTGTTCTACAATAATTGCTCGAGAAGAGACGACGTCAGACGCGAACGAACGCCTGCTCCACCTAAGTAGAATCTTAATCTCGCGGTAATCAAGATGGAAATTTTGAAAGTTATTCGAAAGATGCGACTATAATAAAGGACGAACGAGTACAATGGAAATTCTACGTTCCTATTTCAACCCTCTATCCACGATTGCAAATTCTCGCAATTCTAAATCCTTCGTATCCCAAACAATTAGAATCCACTCGACTTTTGTTTTTCTTACAACCCTCCGTCTCTCGGCACAGTTTTTCCACCGGCATCGTTAGGCTTTCCCGTCGAAATTCAAATCTCCGCGATTCTAAATCCTACGAGCAGCTCATAACTCGATTTTCGACCTCTTCCGGGGGCTCGTCTCCACGGATCGTTCGCAAAGGCACTCCAAGTGGTGAATGGAACTCGAGCGGGCTACGATGGAACGGTTGGCCCGGAAAAACAAGCCGATCGTATCGCGGAGCACCGGCATCGTCCTCGAGATCGACTCGAGGTACCGGAACTCGATGTAAATGCGATCTCTCAGCCTCTCTCGTCGCTTGCCAGCTCGCCGGCACCGAGTGCACCCACGGGAGAAGGAAAAGCAACCAGGGGGGAAACGTTCCCTTGCAAATGGAATGCAAAATCCTGGACGGTGTCGATGCTCGTGGGAACTTTCGTCCCCGCCGTCGGCGTCGAAGTCGGCGTCGTCGCTCCGTGAACACGGCGACGAAAGTCCCCGGCGAAAGGATTTCCAATCTCTTTTAATGGCGCATTAATCGCAACTCCGAGAGGACGGAACAACCGGACCGAGGGAAAAAGGAGCAGGAGGGAGGCTCATCGCGATAACCCTCCGGCTCGAAGCGTTTTTCAATCGACGACGACGACGACGACGACGAGGCGACCGATAGTCTGCGAAGTTTCAACCGGATACCGATTATCGATACTCTCGCATCCAGAGGCTTAACGCGCGCCAATTTCTTTCGAGCGTTATGAAGTGGCGTTTAATGGCTCTTCCAGACCTTGTTGCGAGATACCAAGCATCTAGGTGACACTGGGCTAGATGAAGAGATAACAAGCTGAAGGACTCTACACCGTGTTTTCCTCGGAAAATTAATTCAAACTTATAAATACATATTTAGCTTTCCATCAGGTTTTTACATATCAAAGGCTGGATTTTGAAATGATTCTATGACATAAATATATTACTTATGGGGTACATCAAACTGAACCTCAAGGTTTCATGAAAATCATCTTAATACAAAATTCTGGGAAATTACGGTTTCTGGGAAACTACTAGGTGCAAGTAAGTTAAAAGTTCTCGCGACAAGCGAAATGACCTTGATCCAATTTGCCTTTCCTATAATTAATCGAAATGACTGCGTCCCCGTTTCAGAATTTTCCACGGAAACGAGAACTCTCAATGGAAATACAGGAAACAAGCGGGTCATTCGGACGGGTCGAGTATAATTTCGCTTGTCATTAAAAATGCCAAGCTGTCAAGGTACGGAGAAGGCAAGCTGCACGAAATGGAATTACGTCGAGCGGTTGAAAGTTTCGAGGATCGCAACCTAATTGGGCTATCAGAGACTATAATGAATCCGCTTGAAACTCATCGAACAGGAAGAAATTTCCAACATCGAGTACTCTGATATTCAAGAATTTCTTCCTCTACGTCTGAGTACTTATATTACCGTGCTAAATCAATCAGAATTATTATAAATAAACATTGTTAGATACAAGATATAAGAGTTGTTTTTATTTGAAATAAAAAAAAATAAGGTAAATTTAATTAATACATATTAAACACATAAGTAATTAGAACGTGTATTTCTCAATTCTCATTGATGGCCCTTTTTTCAAGCTCCATATAAAATGTGTCCCTGCTTTATTTGTTGCTTAAGTTTAAGGTTAAATTGAAGAGTGACTTGAAATTAAATCCGAATCCAAGTACCCGATTAAGTTTGAATTAAGGCTAAGCTAAATTTACGTCGAATGTGAGTCACGCTAAACACATGCTACTGAAAGTCATCTACATTTGTCTTTAACCCTGTTATTTGAGGATCTGTATAAAGATTACGTTTACGATCATTCAGCACGTTCAAATTTGATTTAGTTCTTTAGTATTTCACATTTCTTAAGAATAAATTATTTGAAAATTGAAAAAAATTATAACATGCTTTGAGTAAGGCTCGTGTATCGAGATTCAGAGTGATAAGTCCACGTGTTTATTTGAATACAACGAGTTTACAAGGGAATTCAGCGGAGTATCTTGATTCCGGGCCAAGCGGCAACACTTTGTCGCAGATGGAACAGCCAATTGGCCATTGCCACCGCGATGGTCACTTTACATCCAGAGAAATGTTAGAAGACCGTGTGAATTACGACCATCGAGAAAAACGACCAATTCCCTGCTGTAGAATTCCTGACATTCTAACAATTTCGAGAATCACGGCCACAGACGAACAAGGATATTGGAATTCTTTTAACCGTCCATAACTCACCATCTTTTGTATCTCTTTGCGGTCAAAGTTATGAAAAACACATTGACTGACACGATTGAAATGGACGCGAGTAATCAGACATATTAGAATACTAATTACTAAGCATAGGATCGATTAATTTTTATACTTAAAATTTCGATTTGGTATTTTACATTACGGTAGACTTTTAGTAGCTTACCACACTCGAATTGAGGGGAAGAAAATTTATGGGAAAACAGAAATTTAACAAATGGTTCTACCATAACACTAAGGTATAATAAGGTATTGGAAAAATAACTAAATAAGCATAACGGAATATTTCCACAATTAAAAGTTCTAACAAATCACAATGAGCTGAGGACACGAGATTAGTATTGGTAATAGGCCTCTGCGGACAGTTAACGAGCGGAAACTTATCAAGAGTCTACTGTATCGGTGCGATACTGATGATATTCAAGATTTACTTTTCCTTCTCTTTTTCTACTAATTTAATTGTCTAAAATTTGATGCTGTAACAGTAATTCAACACCTGTCATATGAAAATTAAGATGTCAATCATAAATTCACGTTATCCCGTATCAATATC